TTTTTTTTTTTTTTTTTTTTTAAAAAAAAAAACTAAGTGTGCACACTTATAGTTTTAATTATTCAGTTATAGCTTTTTATTATTATCAATTATAACTTACGATTACAAAGCATAAAAACCTACAAAATAATATAAGATTTTTTATAATTAATATATATTATATATATTATATATATATTTTTTAATTTTCCTTTTTGATTTTTTATTGTGACACGAAAAAATTCAAAGAGTTACATAAATAAAACAATTTTCAAAGTTCTCCTTAGTACTCTACTACTACTACTACAATACTACTACATAATACTTATATATAACTTGTTTAGTTGTTTGTTTTTCTGGATAATCTCGTGCAAAGTTGACTTATTTATCCCATGATATAATTGCGTCACGCAACTTGATTGGGTAAAGATTTTTCCGTGAATAATTAAACAGGATTAATAACCCCGTGCAAGAATACCGAAAAAATAAAAAATGTTCATTACAAAAAGGCAAACTCATATTATGCGAAAGGATTAAAGTAAATTAAAGTGTAAAAAATATGCGAATTTACTATTTTTAAACACAATAAAAAATATGGTAACCGATAATTGGTAACCTAATATCCGATAATTAGTAATATCCGATAATTATATAATATCCGATAATTGGTAATAGCAGAAATTTTTTTTCCCTCCATCTTTGTTAAGAATGAATACTAATTAATTAAATATTTACTTAATTGGATAATTTGATATGTGGGCGTCATTATATGATCTTTTTTTATTTGAATAGTTGCGAAAAATCAAAGTTAGCGAATGTTTCGTCCTTAATATAATCAAAGTGAAAATGAAAAGACAATTAAGCCATTATATTTTTCTTGATCATATGTAATAAAATTTTCCAATGAATACTTGTGTTACATATTATTTATATTATTTATTATTTATATTGAATGATTAGTATCGAAAATGATACTCCAACGTGGGCAGCATGGGTTAAATGAAAGGTAATTTGAAAAATTATTATTATTATTTATTATTATTATATATTATTATTATTATTATTATTATTATTATTATTATTTATTTTTTTAAAAAAAAGGAAGAAAATTTTTTCGCTTATAAAAAAAACTTTACAACGAGAACAAGTTACTCTAAATTGCGAACATAATAAATCAACGAAGAAGGCTTTTTAAGTTTTTACAGCAGGTAAAGGAAGAAGCCAGAAAGCGAGTGCGCAATAAAAAAAACTTTTATTTTTTTTCCTATTCAAAAAACCAATGAAAATTTTTATGAGAATAAGCGAACCAATCAAAAGAGAGTATTATATGCAGAGAAAAAGCCGACCAAAATGACACATGATACAAATGATTGGATTATTTTTTTCGTTCAAAAACAAAAACTTTTTCTTTTGAATCAAAAAAAGGCTCTTAATAATTTTTTACACAATATGTATTACATTTTAGTATTTTAAGTGATATTTTTTTATGACCGAACATCGACTGATACGTTTATTACTTTAACAAATATCTTTTGTAATAAAGAGAAATACCTGATATATAATTTTAACTAAATACTTTATTACTTTAATCCACGTAATAAGGTTGTAATCTAATGCACGAAAAAACGCAGAAAAAGTACAAGTACGACATAACGTACAAACATAACGTAATATCATTACATAAATCTTACGCCATTAAATAAGCTTAATCGTTTAAGGCTGCGTTTATCTCCATTTAGCTATTTCCTTTCTCGGTCTCTCGATCTAATAAATCCAAATATGTATTCTTTAAAAAAAAATGTTTTCTTTTTACATTAAAATATTAAATGAACAATGGTTTTATTAAAAGTTAATTTCAAGTAATAATAAAAATAATAATGCATATGATCTAATTTTTTTTTTTTTTTTCGGCCGAACTATTTTTTTTTATCAATCAAGATTGATTAGTACACTTGGATTAAAGTATTAAAGTTCAAGTGACAAGTGATAATGACAGTTTTTAACCAATAATTATTTGATAAATTACAAGCCGCTCATTTTATAAGTGTCATATATAATACACGTACTACTGAATATATGTGTTTTATGTGTCATATAATACACGTACTACTGAATATGTGCGTATACACGTATGAAGTATGAACGTTCAGCAGTCATATCTAACCGTAATAAAACAATTCTCACGAAAGAAATTGACTTTTAAAATATATTTATTAGTACTCAGTTTGTCATCAGTTATACACATAATTTTAATTCACGTAATAAGATATAATTTCGATTTTGAAGAGTTTTTGTTTTTATTCTTTCAAAAAAAAAAAGGTCTAACCGTTATAAATATTAATATATACTAAATCATGTTTCGGCCGAAAAGAAAAAAAATGTTTCGGCCGAGCCACCAAAGAGATTGACAAAAATCTTTTCTTTTTTTAAAAAAATCTATACTTGAAAGTTTAAACTGATTATCATAAGAAAAATTTAAATTTAATCTTTTTTTTCATTCGAAATTTTCCCATTTGTAGACAGAAACGTCATATCTCATCCGCGAAAAAAAAAACACAAAAAATTCAATGAATCGAACAATCTGATTAATAGATGAATAACATAATTATTTATTACTTTTACCACGATTTACTAAATTTAATTTAATTGAAAAACGATTTTCATTACGAAAAAAAACATGTAAAAAATCAACATGCATTATATTGAGTATTACTATCCAATCAAATCTTTCATACCTTTCAATTCGGCCGAACTACAAACAAGATTTATTTCGGCCGAAGAAAATCATTTTTAACTTTGTTCATATTTGTCAATGATCAAAAGGGAAAAAAAAAAAAAATATTACTTTATTACGTTTAATTTGAGTCACACTTTTTTACTGGACTAAAAAAAAAAAAATTCCTTTTAACCATATATAAATGTCCGTACGACATATACTAATACATTTTATATATCTGTATAATATGTATAGTATGATAGTTATCATACGTAAAAAATTTACCTTGATCACCAAAATTGATTAACAAACTCAGAAACTTAGTTATATAGTTGATACACGTGAATCGATTACGTATCTAGAATTTATTATTAGTATGAATATCAATAAGGGGTAAATCCGGAATTAATCCGGAATTAATTATAGATTCAAATTAAGGAGCCTCCGTTATGTCTATTTTAAAGTTTATCATTATACATATAGTAATTTTTAAGATATATTCAATACAGTAATGTATACCAAGAGTCCAAAACATAATAAATTCTCACTAAATTAAGAATTCAAATTAATTACATAATACTGTATATACAGTACTGTATAATTTTGTTTTAATCAATATATTTATAAAATGTATTATTTTTCATCATGTCATTATTCTTGGAAATCTGAATTATTTTTGGTTCATTTTAAAACAAGATTGGTTTGACACGATTCGGCCGAAGAAATAAACAAATAAACAAAAAAGTTCTATTAATCAAGGAGCATTTTCTTGTTTATTTTCTTTTATATAATTTTAATTACAGCATAAACCTTAAAACTATATAAATCAATCGGCCGAATAATGAAACGCGTTCGTCATTTATAAGGTATATCTTTGATTTATTAATCGAATATTTCGTAATGTTTACATTCGAATTCGGATATCATGGATATTATGGATATTATACAAACTTCTGCGTACTTTGAAATAAAGTTTTAATAACATAGCGGCATAAAATAAAACCGAATCATCAATCGTATCAATTGTGATTATTTGAAGTGATACTCAATCACAGTTATCACATTCAATCACTTCATATACATTTTAAAAATTCTTTCAATAATAAAAATAATTATATATTTATGTTGAAACATTTCATTTATTCCTAATGGAAATAATTATGACTAAAAAATATTATTCAAACGTCCGAGAAAATGAAACGCGTACGTCGATCATGAAGATGTCAATGAAAAAAAAAGTCTTTCATATTATGATGGAATAATTATTATTTGTTTACAGATTACGGCCGAACAAGAATTTGTTATTTTCCTCATTTTATTCTCGGTCCAAAGTTCCTTTGTTGTAATTTACCTGTTACGACAAAAAAAAAAAAATAATAATCATAATAATATTACTGTAATAATACATTTTCTTCCAATAAATTTGACGAATAAGCTGCAAAAGCAATTATAATAATTTAGTTAAGACGCGTCAATTTCAGTAATAAACTCGCTCGTTATTAATTTTACTACGTAACGTCTTCTTGAAAACTGCGGTACCTGTGTCACAGTTATCACAGTTGTAACAGTGTCACACTACACACTATATATCTACATTCTATACACGTATTGTAATATTGATCATTTAATACGTACTACAATCCTTTTTGAATATTCGTTTCGAATTTTAAAATAAGGAAACATTAAATTGCCTTAATAGTCAGAACATATTATTATTAGTATACAATATACATTTATGTTTTAACTATTATAACTGATGATTTCTAAATTTAAAATCCTTATTTGTGTCCTTTGGAAAAAAAAATTTGGATAAATTACTTTCAATAATGGTTATAAATAGTTAGCGTTGTCCTCTTGCGAACAAAGTTAATAAATAAATAATTCATGCAATATTACGGCCGAGAAAATGTGTCAGTTGACATAAAAAAAAAAAAAATGGATAAGGTTATCCAAAAAAAAAACAATTACGTGATTCAGAATTTCGAATACACTTTATTCTATTATATATACAATATATTTTCTGTTTGTGATAAACTTAATTCAAATAAATCCTTTTATTATCACTGATGAAGCGTAGTTAATGTGGATGTGTATGGCTCATTGTCATTTAATGTGCCACTTTTTTTAACTTGCTTTGAAACTTTTTGTGGTGGCAATGTAATGAATGTATATGGCGCGTCCAAATTTATTGTTAAAGGAATCCAGTAAAATGATTTATAATATATTTCCAGATCTTAATACGTACAGTTCACCTGAATCCTATGGGTTGGAGATTGAAATTCGTTATAGTGAGAAATTCATTTATACTGATATTATGAATAATGATAGTATTAAGATAGATTTACAACTGATAAATGATGTACTTCATGCAGTTAATATAATCCCGGCAATCTCGTTCGTTAAATTATAATAACAAAGTCTATTTGATAACTAATCAAGTAATCGTAAAATATGAACCATAATTATGATATAGTATTGTTAAACTACCATGTACTTTTGGTGAGGAAAGCAAGAATGTCGCAATGATATTTGTCTGCGAGCTCAATCGAAAAATTGCTTGGAGATTATTGAAATGCGATTTCGTGCAAGTTATTCTAATTATTCTTTGGAAAACTAATAGTCTCCCGATGAAAAAATACTGTTCGCTTGAAGAGCCGATGAAAAAATACTGTTCGCTTAAAGAGCGTAAGAAATATGTAAATAAACCAAAAATAAACCTTACATTTCATAGGAATATCCTATTGGTTTGAGCACAATTAAATGAAACCTGTTATTATAAAACCTTACATTTCATAGGAATATTCTATTAATTTTGAACCTGTTTATTAAATACGTTTAAATTTTGTAAATAAACATTTTTACCTTCAGAACGATAAATTTAATAATTAATTAATTACAAAACCAATAGTTTAAGTTAATTACACAAATTATGAAACTCTTATTTTTCTCCTCAAATAAAAAAAAGAGTTAACAATTTAACCTTATCGAAATAAAGTTTATTGTAATAAACTTTGCAGTGACATTGATCACAATATTCCCCATAAAAAAATTTTCTAGAAAAAACTCCGATAAATGATCATTTTTCTAGTTTTTTAACTTTTTATTCCAATAAAAAAACTCCGACTATGATCAATTTTCAAAAAAAAAATTTTTTTTAATAAGTTGTGTCGAAATAAAATAATTACAAAATTTTGATAATATGAACGAGAACTTTTTGTCTAATTGAATTTGGTCATAAACATACGCCTTATTCCAATAAAAAACTCCGACTATGATCAATTTCAAAAAAAAAAATTTTTGTAGTTGTGTCGAAATAAAATAATTACAATTTTGATATGTGAACGAGAATTTTTTGACTAATTGACTTTGTACAGTATTTGGTCATAAACATACGCCACAATTCCGTGGTAATAATATAACCGCAATATTCGGTCGGAATTAACATTGGCCGTATTCAACATATTCCAATAACAACGCCTACATGCGCTCGAGATTATAATAAATTAATACTTCTAATGAAAATTTACTTTAAAATTAATAATGCGAATTGCGGAGAATTAATGTGCATTCTCCACTTTTATATAGCTTCTTATTTTCGGTTATCATTATTCACATCGGTATTTTCCATAAACGCTGGTGCATATAATGAATCGGGCATATTCGGGCTCCGCCGTACGTTTTGTTTTGTAATTCTGGAACAAGGATGTTAAAATATATTTTAAAAAATTCTGTTTCCTTTATGTAGTTCAAAAGATAGGAATAAAAATTACAAAAATACAAAAATAGCCCAGAATACGATATTATCGTTATGAAATATGTGAATTCATTGGATTCATCTCAGATATAATAACTACTCGATTAAGTATTTATAATGTAAAAGGTCGAGATTCGGAGATGATTACTAATTTTAAAACTTGGGTAATCCGTCGTTATTGTCGTACCAGGCTCGTCCACCAAATCATTCACATATATTATTTGCCTTATTTAGGTTCTATGAAAAATTTTAAATTTAATTTTAATTAATTTGACTAATTTAAGCTTCGTTTATTATGCATTCGGCCATTGAATTTTTTATAATCCATTTAAAAATGTTGAGTATAAAAAAAATTTTTTAAAAGAACAATAGATATTTATGGTCATTGAGAAAAAAAAGATGTGAAGAGGTTTTGTTTATTATAATTTCCCCTATTAATTTTTCCCGAAAGATAGAATGATTACAATACACGTAAAAAAAAGTTATCGATCTTTGTGAAACAAGTAGAGCGCTACATTTCTTAAAAATTTTAGGAAATTTTAATGAGCTATTGAAATTTCAATTAAAGGCGTTAAATAAACAACGTTAAATTCGGAGATTTATTATTAAGAACGCGGATTCGCGAGGTAACCAATCAAATTTACCACTGAAAAAAGGCCCATATAAATTTATAGTTATTAATAGCACTCAATATGGTGGTTGGTGGCGCATATAAGATGTTGATCAACAAATTCGGGTATTAAGTCGATAAAAAAAATTTTTTTTTTTAAACCAGATTTTCTTTTCTTTTTTTTCGGGTATTAACCATTTTGCTATACAACCTTGAAAAAAAAAAAAAAAAATTTTTTATTTTAATAATAACGGAAAATATCGGGAAAATATTATGTAAAATGAGATACGGGTATGAATACTTACATAAAGCTGAGGTTTTTGTGAAATCGATTGTATCCGAATAGTTTTATGAAGATTTATGTTAAAAACGGGAAGAATATATTTGACAACTATGATGCCCGTTTTTGTTACTTTTACGACATCATTACAACATTTAAATTTTCTTTAGGTGACAAATAGATCGATGCACGTCATTTTTGTGTCAACTTGATTTGCCACGCAATTAGGTCCGTGCCACTATAATGCTATATATGCTATATATGCAATATGTAATGCGCCATCAAGTCAAATTATTATTTTTTTTTTAAAAAAAAATAAGCAATCACATAATGATGTTTACGTAAAATTTTCTTGATAACAAAAAGGTTCGGCCGCAATTTACACATTTTATACATTTTATCACTTTGACGAATCGTATTTTTAATGTAATTGCTCCTTTTTTATATTAATTTCTTTTTTATATTAAATTGGTATTTTATATTAAAATTTTACTTTGTTTTTTTCGCTAAAACAAGAGATATATTACGGACTTTTTGGGAATTCCTAAATTTATCTATCCAATTAAGTTTAATTAGATCGGAGTAATTTTCTGCTTAATACTGTTAATACTTGTTTTTTTAAACTGTTAATTATAAAATATCCTAATGTGGCTCAAAAATGATTGTGGCTTGAAAATAAATTAATTCAAATATAAATAATGTCACAAGCCAAGTGTGATAAAAAAAAAAAGTGATAACTTTGAAAAATTAATTTTGGATTTTCTCACACAATTTATACAGTCGGCCGAATAAAATGAAAATCTTATACTTTTTTATACTCACACCACCCTTAAACATACATATATTCCCATAATCCTATTTTAAACAATATATTTTTATTTTTTTCGGTTATTTTTTCAGTTTATTATAATAATCCTTAAGAGCAAAAAAAAATGAATATATATAGAACCCCCTTATTCCCCACAAAGATTTTTAGCAAAAAAAAAAAATAAACAAAAATAAATAAGTAAAAAAAAAAATTATATAATAATCTAGAAAAAATTATTTATATATAAAAAAACTCTTTTTTTTTTAAAAAAAAAAAAAATCATAATTTACACAATTTACACAATTTACATAATCTTTCAAAGTTTAATCACCATGATTACTTTTGTAGAAGCACCAACAATCAATTTACTAAAATTATTTGGATGGTTATTTCTAATAATTCTTTCAAAATTCATAATAAAAATGGTTTACAACGCGTATATAAGTCCATTAAGAGTAATTCCGGGACCAAAATTATGTTCATTATCAGAATTTTCAATTATGATAAGAAGGCCTGAAGGTCGTGTTTTTGAATGGTTTTATCAATTACATCATAAATATGGTAGCGTTGTAAGAGTTGGTCCAAAATTCATTTTATTTTCTTCCAAGGAAGCTGTTAGACAAATTCTCGTCATCAATGTATGTATCTATTTTTTTTTTGTTTTTTTTTTGAAATAAAGTTGAATTCCCATTTCTTACATGTTTTTATTTCAATAGGATTTACCAAAAATTGACTCTATTGCTGGAATTCGAGCTGACCCAGAAATTGCAACTTTATTCTCTGCAACGTATGTAATTAATTAAATTTGTATACAGTAACAAGTATATTATATGTGCACGTGACTAATTTTTATTTTCCTCTCTCCTTTTTTAGTGATCGAATTTTTCACAAACAACGAAAACGTTTATTATCACCTGCATTCTCCATTAAATATATCGCATCACTTGAACCATTAATGCAATCATGTATAAATGTACTTGTCGATAGAATAAAGACCATCTCATCAATCACAAGTAAATCTGACTTGGCACTTAAATTTAACGAAAATGGTTTACCAATCGTTAATATTCATCAATTAATTCAAGCAACATCATTAGATATTATTGGAGAAACGGCATTTGGAGAATCATTTAATTTAGTTGAAAAGGGTGATCATCCACTTCCAGGAAAAGTTTTTCAAGAATTAAAAAGACGTGTATTATATCATACTTTTCCTTATATGAGACCATTTTTAAAGAAAGATTCTTGGACGGACGAATTTATTCAAAAGATTATTAAAGAACGTAGAAATTTAAATGCTCAAGGAAAAACACGTGAAGATATCCTACAAATTATATTGGACACTCGAGATGAAGTAACAAATGAGGGATTAAATGAATTTGAAATTCAAGATCAAATTATGGAATTTTTAATTGCTGGTAGTGATACAAGTTCTTTCAGTATCAATATGGCATTAATTATGTTACTTCATCATCCAGAGAAATTGCGTAATCTTATAAATGAATTATCATCAGCTTTTCCTAATGGACCTCAATCACTAAATCATGAAAATCTTAAAGATCTTAAATATCTTAACGCGGTTATCAATGAAATTTTACGTCGTTTCCCAGCAGCAATGGGTGGAATATTACGTCAAACGAACAGTGATATGATGATTGATGGATATTTCGTACCAAAAGATACAATTGTATCAGCATCAATATATCAAGTACAACATTCAAAAGAAATTTGGGGTGTAGATGCTGATGAATTCGTACCAGAACGTTGGATAAATGGTGATTCCGTAAAATTAAAACGAAATATTTTTACATTTGGCGCTGGTTCAAGATTATGTATTGGAAATAATTTTGCTATGATGGAAATAAGATTAGTATTAGCTTCTTTATTATTAAATTTTGAATTTGAAATGGTAGAAAAGCAAGATTTACAAATTGTACAATTTATTACTCCAAGTTTAAGGAGTAAAAAGTTTGATGTTGGTATCAGAGTTAGAAATTAAAAAGACAAAATTATAATTTTTTGGACATTTTTTAGGCCTTTTTTTTGAGGCTTTTTTTCAGGCTTTTTTTTGAGGCATTTTTTAGGCTTTTTTTTTCGGTGGATAATTTTCTTTGTTAAATATTTACTAAATTTTGCGATTTATTTTATAATACCTCACTTTTATTATCTTTTTTTTTTTTAATTTTATTATATTTTAAATATCTTTCAATGGTTCACATTATTTAATGGGAACCTTGTAATATATTTGTTTTCTTTTCTTTCTTTTTTTCATTCTTATTTTCGTGTAATATACTTTTTTAATTTCGATTTTTTTTATTTATTTCGAAAGTAAGAAGTAGTAATGTTAGAACAAAAATTATTTATAAGACATAATCAATAAAAAATAATAATTACAAAAATTAGATTATTTAATCTCTGTTGCATAAGTTTTTAAGTTTTTAAGTAATGCTTTGATTGGTCAAAATTTCGTGATCATGCTAAAAATACCTGTATTAAAAAAAGACTTTGAAGTTTGAACACTCATATATATATATATATATCCTTCTATCTAATAAAGTTCGAATGCTGCTATTATTTAATCTCAAAATTAAATATTTTAAGTCATTTATTTAAAGCTATGTTTAGGGTGCAGTAACACCTGCAACTATGCACAATATTGCACATGCAGTCATGCACTTAGAAAGGGCGTGAAGAAAAATAGATTCAAAGTTTTCTTAAACTCAAAGTACTTTCTAATATACTTTAAATCAAAAGAAACCAACATATTTTATGAAATACAATTTTTAATGGCCATTACAAATTTATTTAAATTAGATTAATTTTTCTACTTTAAAATTTTTTTTAAAAAAAATTTAACGTTCTATCGACAACATTATACGGGAATGCATTTATTGGATTGCTTGCACGTGCAGAAAATAGAGGGACTCTAAGTCCCAGGCTTGGGACCAAGCTATGGTATGCATATAAAGAGGGGTGTGCACTTATAGAGGCAGTTATGTGCATTGGAAGATTGGAATCTTCCAATTCTTCTAATTCCAACCTTCCAATGCACATCACTGCATTACTGTATATAGTTACATGATTATTTGCATCATTCATGATTTCAATACGAATCTTTAGGAAGAATTTTTGCGGACATATGAATTGAAGTGAAATTTTTTCAAAATCACTCCTTGATAATATTTCAATATTAGTTAATATATACTGTATAAGGTAAATCTGTAAAGGTCACGCTATCCTACCGTTAGTAACTAAGCGGTAAAATGGTTCATTTCTAAATACTATTACATGTTAATTACACTTTGCTGCAGAACTGCGACATCTCTTCAGTACATGTTATCTCGACCTATTATATTGGTTAATAATGATGGGCAAAAAAAAATGTCTTTACTTACCAATGATTTTTATCCAACTGAATGTATTGGAATCCATTTATGTACATCAAATAATTTTTATCTCCTTGTCAAACCATATTATTTTAAATTCCTAAAAGGAAGTAATATGTTTCAATGCATATAAATTTTCACAAAATTTATCGAGATAGCTGCCAAGCGATCGGTGAATAAATTAACCGATCGAAAACTAGTTAAATTTTGAAATTTTGGCTATTTAAAGTAATCAATAATATATATGAAATTACCAATTAAAGAACAACAATAGGTACAAACTATTTTCATTATCTCTATTATTTCCACGAATTACATAGTCGTGTTCACGTAAAAAAGTTTGCGGCAAACAAGTGACAAACATAGGAGAATTAAATCATAAAATTTCTAAATCTCTTTAAGTATGAATATCTGAATTTTCTATTGGCATTGAACAATGTTCTAATTGTTGCCATAACGATTACCATCTGTTACTGGTCAATAAATGGGCGAGCCGCCTAGCAAATATGTAAGGCTCAGTACGGTATCATCTTGAAGAAATATGAGCTTCTTATGAATAATTGCCACCTTTAAGAGGATTACGTAATAACAATATCCATAGTTCTCAATACATTAATTGGTTTATTTGCGGAAAACGTAAAAACGTACTAATTTTTTTGGGTAACACACAACAATTGCAACACGTACCTATGTGAGAATTTTTTCGTATAGTATTTTAAGCCTTTTAAAAACGTGTAAGACTTAAAATTCACCTACAGTACCTCCACTACTAGACTTTTACCGTTGTTACTAGCATATATATAGCATTGTTACGAATTGTTATGAATTTCGCTTTCTACTTGGAACTTTGGAGTTTTTGAATAACCTTTTGTAAATATAAAGATAAGATTGTATTTAAGAAAATGGAATACACATTTTTTATAGAAAATGAAAGAGTGAACGTAATTTATTTTTATTATGTAAGTCTTCGTCCCGTGACTGTTAAAAGGAACGTCAATGTTAGTGGGATATGTAGTATAAACATCATTATCTCAACGTTAAGTTATCTTCTTTAAAGAATTCTTTTCGAATTTAACGTATGACTAGTCGTATCTGACTCATTTTATGTAATCTAGTTATCATATGATTGTTACAATAAATAAATAAATGTTCAAAAAAAAAAAATTTTTTTTTTTTCTAAATAGAACATTTTATTTAATTGAACATAATTGATATTAAATCACGGTAATTTTCGAATTCGGATAAAATAGAAAATTCTCAAGTTTACAAATTAGGTAGGACATAATATGTAGGCATTGAAAATTGAGATTATCAAAATTTAGATATTTATATTCACTTTAAAAGTACTTATTTAGTATAAAATCGATCTCTATGAAATTTTGATTGAAATTTTTTTACGCAGATAATTTAAATTTAACAAAATGCCATCAGAAAAGAAATCTAGCGTGCTTACTAATGATATTAAAGATGAAACTACATTACAAAATCAACGAAAAGAGTATAAAGATTGTTTATCATGTCGTTTAATCGGTGTAGCAACATTTATGGGATTAGGTACTTATACATTATATCATTCTTTTGTTCATAAACCTAAATTGAGCAGAGGATATAGATTTGGATTAACTCTCGTTGGAATAGGTAATTATTTATCCGACTTTCACATATAATTATTAATAATCATCCTGCTTTGTAATTTATTTCTTTGTTTTCTTTGTAATTAGGATTTATGCAAGTCGGGGTTTTTCGACTTTTAAATTAAACTATTCTTTGTATTATTATTCAATTATATCACGTGCAGTACGTGTTTACTTTTTTGAATTATTCCCGCTATTGTATTTGTTACATTTAATTGATATCTTATCTGATAAGAAATTGTTTATATTTATCCAATATCCAATATCTATATTAAAGGTTTATTATTAAAAAAAAAAAATTTTATCCAATTTCTTTATTCTTTACATTGAAGGTTTATAAAAATTCACCTTTCTTTTCTCTTTTCATTTAACCAATGGAGGATTATACGTATTTATTGTCAAAACAAACATCAGAAGATGATTATTATGATTATAATAATAATAAATTATATTTTACATATAAACAACAAGGTTGTTTGGGTATTCAACAATCAAGAATAAATGGTACATTTCACGTTCGTTATCCAACAAATTCTCCATTAAAAGTTGAAAAAATAGATATTATATTTAGTGGAATTGGTATGGTACAATGGAATGAAGGGGATAAAATAAATTATGCTGAAACCAAATATTTTGAATATTCATCTTGCGTTTATAATGAAGAAGAAAATCATCTTCTAAGTTATTCAGATTTACCTTTTGAATTTATGATACCTGAAAATATTCCTTCTAGTATTTTATCAATTCCTTCTAAATTAACAAATCATCTTAGTAAAGCGAGAATTTATTATTCTATAAAAGCAATAATTACGAAACCAAAGAATTTATTAAAAAAATCAAAGAAAATTGTTGAAATAGAATGTCCAATAACAAAATATGTTCAACAAAAGGAGATTGAAAATCAAAACTCAGTTATATTAACGAAAAAACTTGATAATTATGAATATTCCATTTTATTCGATAAGACAAAATTCGATCAAAATTATAATAATATCATAAATTTACCTTTAAGTATTGAAAAAGGGATTCTAAAAAATATTAAGAAAATTCAAATTAGTTTAAAAGAAAATTACTTATTAAAAGTAGGAAATAAAACTCATTTGATAAAAAATGTATTATTTAAAAAAGTTATTAATAAGGAAAAAATTTCTCGTATTGAAAATAATAATAACAATATTAAATATTTAATTAATTGTAAATTATGTTTATATGGAAAAAGAATTCATAATAGCGTTAAAACTGATCTAATTAATATTTGGCATCAAGTTAATATCGATATATCCTTAAAAGGTAGAAGAAAAATTAGAATATTTGAAAAGGTAATTGATATTGTTAGTGCTATTAATAATGATATAAATGTTATAGAGTCAGATGTAGAAGAATGTGAATATGAGACATGGTGATTGTTAAACATATTGATTGTATGCAAAATTTTTAAATAATATTTAAATAATGGATTATCTATAACTATATTTATTTTTTTTGTGTTCTTGGTATTTATTAATGAATAAATGAAATTCCATATATATTTTTATTGAATTGAGAAAAAAGGGTAACAATGGTCAGGTCATTTCTATTTAAGTACTCATTCAATGTATCGCAATCATCCAATAATATATTATAGGAATAGGTTAAGCTAAATTCTTTTCCTTATAAATACTAGAATAAATAACCTATCTCTCTCTCGGTTAATTCTCATCTTTTATTATGGCGACGTCTATACCAAACGTTTCAAACGATTTTACTCTTTTATATAATCCAAGTTGGGGTTATAATCGTTGTAGTACGAAAGCTTACTTTAAATCTCCAAATCCAACAAATTTTCAACATGGTTTTTATGGCATAGAAAATTCAACTATAAGAGGTTCCTTTCACTTATGTTATCCGGTAAACTCTCCATTATACACTAATAAAATTGAATTAATTTTCGAAGGTAAACAATCCATTTCTTGGAAAGAAAATAATAATATTATTAATGATGAAAAAATTATATATAAACAATCGAAAATAATATGGAAGTCTAAAAACAATAATTATGAAGAACTTTCTACTTTAGATTTACTTTTTGAATTTCATTTACCGGATAATTTACCTTCTACAATAACTTCCCTTAATGTTAAAAGTTATGGTGAAAAAATTGCTGGTGGTGTTGCAGGTAATGGAACTGAAGTAGGTCATATTACTTATGGTTTACGTGCGGAAATATTTCGTCCAATAAATATTTTTAAATTACAATTAAATCAAAAGAAAATTGTTGATATTTGGTGTAGAATTCAAAGATGGCAAAGTTTGGAGAGTTTAAATACTTTTGATAGACCTTTTAGATGGGTAGATTCTAATGATGATATTCGTTATGATGTTGAATTGGAGAAAACTATGTTCAATTATAAAGATACGATTAATATTCCAATGAAATTTTTTATTAATGATTTGGATAAAGTTAAAATTAAAAAAATTTGTGTTAGAATTAAAGAATATCATGAACTCAAGATCAATGATAAATCGAAAAAAATTGGAGGTTTCGTAGTAACTGATACAGCATTTGGTGAACAGGCTAAAAAATTAAAGACAAATAATGATGATGATTATTATTTTTTTAAAATGAGATTAAATTTAACAAAAACTAATTTAGGTAGAAAATTAAATTGTTCTGTGAACAATGAAATGATTAATATTCGACATAAATTAAAAATCAAAATTTATTTAGAGAATTCGAATTTACCTTCAATCGATTTAGAAAAAGAAATTACTATTTTAAATTTTGCCACAGAACAAGACACTTCAGAACAACATCGTTTATCGAATACTTGGTTTTATCATAATGAATCTAAAACTGAAGAAACCCTTGTAGAAACAAATGTCGCTTGCCATGGTAGAACGAAAAATAGAAATAAATATGTTACATCTCAAAAGAAACGGTTTACTTTATTTGGTGTAAAATTTAGTGGCAGGAACACTAGGAACACTGATTAATAATCATTCATATTGTATATTTTTCATTTTCATTTTTTTTTTTTTTTTCCTTATATTCCTTTATATATGCATATATATGTATAAATATATGCGCATTAATTTTTTAAATTAGAACATTATTATATTTCATCCGTTTGTAAATAATATAAATGTAGAAGAATAAGGTTATTAGAAACAAATAATATTATTCGAATAAACTTAAATGTTTCATTTACGTAAGTCGACCAGGGTGTTAACATTTACTATTGTGCCAAATAAGTAATATTTTTTCGGATAAGATTTAATCTGTAATTCAAATTATTATTCAGCTGATTTGTGGATGTTAAATGATTTCACAATGAGTCATGTATAGAAAACATGGACCAGATGACCCGGATCTCAATAAATCAATTTTTGGTATCAAACTAAAAAAAGAAATTAACTTTTTCTTAAATTGAAAAAAATCACGTTCATTTACTTTAATTATTTCCCGCTCAAAAAAAAGGGAACAAAAATAGTTCATATTTATATTGTTTAATCCTTTTACTCCTCCAACAAACACCCATAAATTTTAACTGTTTGATTTCTAGTGTAGTTGAGACAATGATATAATGTGTAACTATTCGATTAATTTTATTAATGAATTTATAAAATATGTATAGATATATATAATTTTTTTTTTTTTTTTCATGCACAAACTGAAACAACAAATTTTCTATCGAATTACGAAAAATTTTTCTCTCGAAAAGAATTATGAAAGATTTTATGGATTTAACAAAGTTCCCACCAAAATCACAATATAAAGATTCTTGTAAAAATATATTTTTTTCATATTCACAAAATAATTCAAATTTTCAACAAGGATATTTAGGAATTCAACAAACAAAAATTACTGGTATATTAAATATAAGAAGACCAATTACAAATCCATTATTAACAGATAAAATAGAAATCATATTTACTGGAAAAGAATTCGTTAAATGGAATGAAGCGGAAGTGGGAAACAATATCAGTAATAAATTTATTGAACTTTCATATATTATTTGGGAATCATCAATTAAAGGTGTTTATCAAAAGATAACAGAATTAGATTTACCTTTTGAAATTCCTTTACCTGATTATTTACCAGCTTCTCTTTTATTTAAACGACCTATTACATCTAAAATATATTATATTTTAAAGGCAAAGATTTCTAGACCAACAAAATATTTTGGATTAAAATGTGATGTTAAAATAGTTAGTGTTATGTGTCCTATAACGAGATGGAATTTACCAATTAAACCTACTTCACTGTTAATTCCCATGGTTAGAACTTCAAATCCAACTTCAAAAGGTGTTGAATATGAAGTTAATTTATATCAAACTACTCTTGGTATTGGAAATTCTATTATAATTCCTATAAGTTTAACATTAGAAAATATGAAAGTTTATGTTAAGAGGATTAAAATTTGTTTAAAAGAATATCATCAATTAATGCAAAAAAAAGTGGTACATTATAATTCTGAAGATATTGTTAAATCTGAAATATTTGGTGATCAATTAATGTTGGTTTCTGGTACCATGAATAAGTATGAGATCAAGGCTAAATTAGATTTGGTCACTAAAAATCAAGAGAAACCAATCTTACCTTCAGTTCATTCAGATCATATTGTTATTTGGCACAAGATTGAAGTTAAAATCACCTTAAACGATGCTCCAAAAATTAAGTTTGAGAAAGAAGTTAATGTTGTTAACACTATCTGTGAAGAAGATGCTTCTATGATCACCGAGGAAAGGCGAAGGTCTAATTGGAGTAAAATGGATAAATTATCTGCGAAAGCTGTTTATAATTTGTTAATTAATTAGTGAAGATAAGGGGAAGCCGGGAAGGGGAGAAAAGAATTAATTTTACCTATTTAGATATTTAATATTATATATTATGCGCGCGCGTATTATGTCATTCATGTGAAATTTAATAAAATTCATAATCTATCTCTTAATGAAAATTTGATATTATTTAACATCATCATGTGACATTACGCGATAAACACGATTATTGTTCTCCCTATTTTTTTTTTTTCACGTTTACGAAATTTTTAGTTTAATTTTACAAATATGAATTTATTTAACATTCAAGATTTCTTTAAATTATGTGGTGTCATTTTATTTTTTTATTTATTAAAATCTTTGTATGATGTAAGCATTCCTTTTTTTTTTTAGGAAATTAGTTTCTTTTTTTGTAAATTGTACTTGCTTTTATAATTTTTTTTTTTTTTTTTTTCTGAAAGATAATTTATTGTGCCTACTTTGGACCGTTAAGTATAGTTCCTGGACCAAAATTATTTCCTCTTACACGACTCTTTATTTCATTTAAACAAATATCAGGTCAGAGGTAACGTATTTTCAAAAACATTTATTTAAAATCATTTAACCATATTCCAATTAATTCCATTTTCGATTTAGGTGGAAATGGATACAAAATGTAGCAGTTCCTACTTACGGACCTATGGTGAGACTTGGTAGGTTTTTTATTTTAATTGATCTCTTTATTTCTAAAAGATTCTTTTGATATTAATAAGAAATTCTTCTTAAAAAAGGACCGAATTTAGTGTTGATTTCAGATAAGGATGCTATCAAAGAGGTATACATCAGGACTCTCAAATTATTTGACCTTCTTTACATTCATTTTTAAGCATTCGAAATTATTAAAACCAAATGTTTTTTTCTTATTTTTTCACCCCAAGATAATTGCAGCTGTGTGTATATGAATCAATTCGGATTTGCGTTATTTAAATCATCAGTATAATACGATTAATTATAATTATCTTATATACGAATAGGACTTTCCGAAAAATTTTAATTATATAAAATTTAGAACGGAAGATAGGTTTGATACATTATTTTCAACAATGTAAGTCTTTTTTTTTTACATATTTAACGTACATCTTTTTTTAAAATGATTAAAATAATTTTTTTAATATTTAATGCAGTGATAAATCATTCCACAAAAAACGAGCAAGTATTATTAATGTGTTATTGGATATTTTTTTTTCAAATATAGAATTAATAATTAATAATTTTCTTTATTATAGCGAAGAATACTTTCTCCGGCATTCTCCATTAAATATGTATCATCTTTAGAACCATTGATGATATTGTGTGTTAAAGATTTAATTTATAAAGTAGATGAATGTATTGAAAAAAAAACTTTTTCTGATGGAGCTGTACTTAATATTGTTAATCTTGTACAAAGTTGTGTTTTGGTAGGTTTATATTTCGCAATTTTTTTTTTTTTTTTTTTTTTAGTAAATGAATTTCATAACTTATAATTTTAATTGTTTACAGGATATTATCGGAGAAACTAATTTTGGAGGTAAATTTAATAGTATTGAAACTTTATCTCACCCGTTGCCAGGAAAAGTTTACCAAGAGTTAAGAAGAAGAGCAATGGTATGTAATAACTATTTGGAAAAATTGTTTATTATTATATTCCTAACCTATATAATATGTGATTTTCATTTAGAAATCTTTGTTTCCTTTATTTAAATCATTTATGAAATATGATCAATATTTATTGGATGTAAGTCTTATAATTATTATGTAATTAGAGGTTCTGCAAGTGTTGACATGGTAGTAACAATTATGGCACGGCACGTGCCTGGCATTGATTGTGCCCGCATTTGCAGAACTTATATGTGATATTTCATTTATTGACTAAAATATTTATTTATAATTGGTCAAAGCTTTCAAATGAGTTGATTAAAAATAGAAGACAAGCGGAGAAGTCTAGAGTTGATATATTACAAGCAATATTAGACGTAGTGAAAACCGAAGAAAGTGATCAAATTACAGATTTTGAAATATTTGATCAAATATTAGAATTTTTAATTGCTGGAACTGACACTGTTGGTCTTACGGCTTCAATGGCAATAACTTTACTTGCAAAAAATCCCGATAAATTAAAATTATTACAACAAGAATTAGATAATGCCTTAGGAAATTGTAATGATGAATTACCTAAACATGATCAATTAAAAGCATTACCTTATTTAAATGCTGTTATTAATGAAACGATGAGATTATGGCCTGTTACTTTGGTTTGTTATTATTATTTGTTGTATGAATTTTGGTTTAAAAAGTGAACTAATTGATTAATTTAATAATAGGATGGAGGTAAATAACGTTTAATAAGTACGAAGTATCGGGGACAAGACCGAATTATTGGATGAAAAGTGTGCTACGCAATGGCCAAAGAGTCATTGGGACCAATAATGCCTAATTATCGCAAAAATGGGTGGTCCATTGAAATCGGCATAGCATATCTTTCATATCTTTCGAGATTACAACAGTTTTAACAGTTATTAACTTTTAAAATAATTTATTATAAATAGGTATTGGAAGATCACCTGAAAAAGACACGATTATTAATGGATATATGATTCCCGCTCGCGTAAATATCTATAATAAATATTATTTATTTGTTTAATGACAATATACTAAGAAAAACTTTTAATCTATTAATAGACAAATTTGGTTTTAAATTATTATCATTTACATCATGATTCAAAATATTGGGGTAAAAATGTTGAAGAATTCGTACCGGAAAGATGGTTAGATCTTAATAATTCACCCAAAGATATTTTTTATCCGTTTTCAGCTGGTAAGTCTTACAAATCTATTGCCATAAATTTTATAGAATTTTACTAATAATGTATTTATTGTAGGATCAAGAAATTGTATAGGTCAAAAGTAAGTATAAATATCATCAATATTTAATGTACATTAACAATTTTATATATAATTAATTTTTGTTTTTCTATTTCTAACACTTTAGTTTTGCATTAATGGAAATGAGACTGATAATAGCATCATTATTATTTCAATTTGATGTCAAGGATATTTTAGCGCAAGAGCTTGATATTGTTTGTTATATTACGCCTAGCTTTAATAATTTGAAATATGATTTAGTTTTCAGTAAAAGAAGTTTTAAATCGATTAATAATTGTTAGTTGATCTAAGGATTGGTAAAATTAATTTTATTTATTTATACTAAATTTAAGCTAATATAATTTTATAAAAAAATTTATTTGGTTGAGATTTGCATAAGTCATGTGATCCATTTTTTAAGTCATTAATTAAAGATACAATAAAATAAAATTTAAATTTCTTAGTAGCAAATAATTAAATAATAAGGAAATTGGAATTTATTTATTAAAAATAAAAAAAGGAATTAATTAGTAAATAGTTTACTGCTATTTATTAAAGGATTACTATAAAAAGTTAGGACTTTTTTTAAGTTAAAGTTAATATAATAATTCAAATTACTACAGATTTTTAAATAATTTTTACATTTCAATTATTACAGAATTTAAGTGCAAATTATAAGTTTACCAATAAAAAAAACTGATAGAAATATATTATATTGCATATACTGAAATATTATATATTTAAAAAAAAATATTTAATTATCTAATATAATTAATTAAGGTTTACTTCAAATTACCAGGGTGATCATCACCGTTGGCCAGAATTATCAATTTTTACCAGCACTATATTTTTTAATGCTGGTCGATTGTCATAATTTCAGTCACCAGTGATCATCACCCCCGGTGATAGTTAGAAAAATTCATTAATTAAAAATTAAAAAATAAAATATTTACAAAATAAATAATATAATTCATTGTTAATTACATTTGCAATTTATTATAATAAGCAAATTTAATATTACTTATAAATAACAAAATAGGATAGATTTATTTAAAAACTTAATATCCATTAATATTTATAAGTATTATTAGATGCAACTTGTAATAAATATTGCCAATAAACTTTAAATTCTCTATATTTATATATTTAAGCAACTTTTTTGACTTTTTTATAATTTTATTTGAATGGATAAGTGCAAATTACTTATTATTAAAAAGAAAAAAAAAATACTATTATACTACTATTATAAAGTAACTTAATTTAATTATAAATATAATATCTATTGGATTTAAAGATAACTATATAGCAAAAGATTCATTTAAAATATTTGTTAAATAAATAAAAAAAGAAATATTTATATTATTATAGTAATATATTAATATCAAATAATTATATAAAGTCAGACAAAAATGGTATTTCTAATATTATTCTAGAAATATATGAGAATTTCTAATTTTAATTAAAAAAGGTTTATTTTAGGATGGAATAATAGATATATAAAAAATATAAAATTTAACTGCAATTTATAAAAGATTATCTAAATACCTATTTAAATTATATGACTTTTATTAAATAATAAGTTACACATATAGGTAAATTTTCTATTAATTATTATCAATAGCCTGGTAAATATTATATATAAATTTTCCTTATATTTCATTTGTTATAGTAATTTATTTATTATACTAGATGATTTGTAAAAAAAAAAATTTATATTAAAAAATAAATTTTGATTAAATTATCAAAAAAAGTAAGTACTTATAACTTATAAGTTATAACAAATTATCTAAAATTTTAAGATATGTTAATTAATAGTTAATGCAGATGTGCAGATGTTACTAACTAAAATACTACAAATGTAAATATATATTTTTTTAATTTTATATTAGAAATAATTAATTACCAAATTTTTTTTTTTCAAAAATAGTGATTTTATCATTAAAAATAAATTAATTACTTTTTTAATTTAATTATTTTAAATAGAAGATTTTCACAATATTAAAAAAAGATTTAAGATTATGTTGATCAAATATTAATGTATTAAATATAAACCATTAATATGGTTATTAACCACTTAAAATTCTGGCCGAATTTATAATGTCATCATCATATCTATAAAGAAATTCCGGTTTACCGAATCTTTTCCCGACAAGCCGATAAGCCTAACTCTTCCCCAAGCCCCAAGACCCCATCGACTATTTTTTATCGATTAAAATTCTTTTTTCGAAAAAGATGAAAAATCCTTTTTTTTTCGGTATTATGACACACGTTTTGTTGATCGTCAAAACAAAGAAATCATCAAACAAAGTAAAAAATTGTTTCTTTGACTATAAAACTAAAAATGAATTGACTAATACCAACAACCCAAAACGTTTTGATTTTCCAATTTTAGTCAATAGTTTCTTAAACTAGAAACAATCGTTTTGTCTCTTTTGCACTTTTTTTAATAGCATGATCGTATAAAAAAACATTTAATCCCAAACCGGTTAAGATCGAGTTTTTACTACTGGATAAAAAAAGCACCCGATCCCTTTCTTTGATCCTCCTCGTGTGACTAGTTTGACTCCTTATATGAATAAATAAGTTTGCCCCAGTTTCAGCTAAGATTTTTTGACATCTGATTTAAGATCTGCTGAACATGTATCAAAATTTTGTCAGAAGAATTTTGAATGTTTGTTTTATTCTAATATAGAACTTCTTTTTAATCCAAAATAAGTTTTAAATCTAAAATTATTTTTGTGGCTAGAATGGTCAGAATTAAAGAGCGCATAACTAAAGTATTTAATTATGTCACAACGAAAGTTAATTCGAATAATTCGCAAAAAATACTAATAAAGTTTAGGATTAATTCAATATTTTTAACTATGAAAAATTAATTTATATAATGAAAAAATTGTGTAATCATTATTTTACCTGATTTAAGTAGATAAAGAAATAAAAACTAAAATCAAAATCGGCAAAATGTTCTTTTAAAAAAGGTGAAAATCATTGTTCTTTTTTAATATTTCTAAAGTTACATAAAATGATCATTGTGATGCAATAAAATTATTGGAAACTAAAATTAAATATATTTTTTTTTTATATATGTTGAGGCACAATTAACTTTTACACCATTAATAAAATGGGGTTAGTAATTATTCTACAATAATTGCTCATCAATGTGAAACGTGGATTTGATTCATTATTAAATGGAATTATATCGGGCCAAAAAAACTTTATAAATACCGAGGGTATCCTTCTTTTTAATTCTTTTTTTTTTTAAAAAAAAAAAAATAATATTTTTTTATATATTATATTTTTTCTAATAATTTAAATAAAAATTAATTCATTAATTCACAAAAAAAATCATGCGAATAAATCTTTCGTTGATATACTTTTCAATTATTTTATTAATTCCGTTAGCCTCAGCTCAGTTTTCTTTAGAATGTTTAACAGAAGATTTACCAAAATCAGTTGCGTATACATTAAAAACATCTGATGGGATGACAATTTCCGTTGAAGAGAGAGGAGATATTTCAAAACCAACAATAATTTTTACACATGGATTTTTTTCAAATAAGTTGGCATGGGAGCCTACGTTCACATCACCTGATATGTCTGAAAAATATCATTTAGTAAGATGGGATTTACGTGGAATGGGAGATAGTAGTAAAGATAGTGATACAGATAAATATAATGATATAGAATTATATGCTGAAGATATTAAATTAATAGTGGATAATATTAAAGAAAAAAAAGGAAAAGGAAAAAAGGATAATCCAAAAATTATTTTGGTCACTTGGAGCACAGGATCTATTGTTTCTTTATCATATTTTAATATTACAGGAGAAACAAATGTTGATGGTTATGTTAGTGTTGGAAATAATTTTATAAGTTTTCAAAATGATAATGTTTTTACTGAATATAGTAAACTTACTATTGGTAGTATTGTCACCAGTCATACTTATATACTCATCTTGGATTCACTTAATAATTTGATAAAAAGTTTTACTTCTCCTAATAATCAATTTCCACAGTCAACTATGAATTTTTTTTTAGGAAGTGCTGCTTATTCTCCTTCCGAATCTCGTTCAGCTTATGGAGGTAAAGTCATTATTTAATATTATTATTATTAATGATTTAAATGATTTTTAATAAATTCTCATCTTTCTCTTTTCTTTTTTCCAGATTTTAATTATGATTATACGGAAACATTTAAAAGTCTCTTAATTCCAACATTAAATATTTATGGAAATGATGATAAAGTTGTTAATCCTGTGCATAGTCAAACAATCGCTAATTTAAGACCTGTTGATGGATTAAATCATATTTTGGCTTATGATGGTGTTGGTCATGTTCCTATGTGGGAAAATCCTAAAAAATTTGAAATTGATTTAGATAATTGGATAAAAGATTCTGTTCTTAATCCAAAACATCAAAAAGCGCCAAAAGCGCCAAAAGTACCAACACCACCACAATCACCACCACCACCACCGCCACCACAACCACCACAATAACCGCAGCAAAATCTAAAATTACGTATATAAAATTAATATAACATAGTTTGTAAATTTATTAATAGAATATACACACACATATATTTTTTCTTTTTTTATTGATGGGGCATTGGGCAAAAGCTTTTTTTTTTTTATATTTTAATTTAATAAAAATTTAATAAAAAATTTAATAAAATTTTATGTATAAATCGATAAATAAGGTTAAGGCAATTTACATGATTTGGGAAACTGGAACTTTTGTTTAATTGTTAATTAAAAAACGATTGATCGAACTAAGCCTCTTTTATTAAGCCGCAAAACTGGTTTATTTGCGTTTATAAATTAAATTAATTATTACTACTATATATATTATGTGAGATTTTCTATATGAGGGATCGATGATATAGGATGTATGTATGTTAAATAACCTGAATAATAATTATTTAATTAATTATAGGTAATGAATGAAAATAAATTTAAACATTATAATAAAATTATTATATAATGTAAAAAAAATTATTGTCATCGAAATGAGTCAAAATTGATGTTTTGGAGCAAAGGGAAAGATTCTAAATCCAAAAAATATAATTTTCTGATATAGAACGCAATTTTAATTTAAATAATGATTTAGATGTGTTGAACGACAATGGTATTTTTATTATTTTCTTATTTTTCCTGCCCCAACAGTTTTTGACCAATATTTTTCCCATTGTTCAATTTCCTTCTGAGTTAATTCATGAGGTTTTGTCGCTTTTCTTCGGGAAATTTTCTTAACATAATCGTTTGGATCACGCTTAACTAATAATAGAATAAAAAGAAATTAATTATATTATAAAAAAAATGTAAACGATTTCTTTCGATGAGAATGATACTTACGTTTAATTTCACGAGCTATTTCCACTCTCTCAGGAGTTGGCAAAGCTAAAACTACAGATACTATCAAAGCCATTAAGGCAAATAATATTAAAGAAAGTTTCATTTTGTATAGCACGAAAAGCAAATATGTTCAATAAGAGAATGTGTGTAATTAATGAAATGGAAAAAAAAAAAAAAATTGCGTCTTTAGGAGGAATATGAAGAAATAATATTAGAGAAAAAAGTCATTTTTATATTCTGTAATTACTTCGCCACAATGACGATGTTGTATAACGTAATTGAAAAAAGTTGGTTCTTTTTTAACAAACAAAAGTGTAATTTATATTACGGTACAACAAAACCTATGAATTTCCGTTTCGCTCCAATTCGGTTATGTAACAATGCGCAAAATCTATTAGACAGAATCCATGCACAAATATTAGATTGATGAATTTATTGGTACTCATTACAGATACAATACTTTTCCAAAATTTATACATATGAAATCTTATGAACAAGGTTATTATTATAATCCTATAATATATCCTATAATATATTGTTAACCGAATCACTTTCTCGTGCTTAAAAAAAAAAAAAAAAAAAANTGAAATATAATTCATACATGTAACCAAAAAAAAAAAAAAAATTCTTATTATTACAAAAATTTAGTAATTGTACCTCAATGTGAACTTAAACGTCTATATAGATGTTTCTCTGCATCCTTGATAAAGCACATAATTTAATGAGTTTCACGAGCTATTTCATATTTGTAACGTTACTTTTTTTTTCGAAATTAGTATTTACAATTCTGATAATTCTGATATGGTCGTCAAAGTTGTGAAGGCCCCGAGTATCACTAAGGGGAAGTATCATGTGTAATTTTTTGTTGACATTTAATAATTTTTATTTTTCAAAAAATTTAATACAAATTTCAAAAATTAAATTTATGAAACATAACAAAAGTACGGTTAAAGCTCGTTATAATAAAACCCGTTGTAGTAAATTTGCTTATAGTGAACTTTTTTTTATTTCCCCAGTTCACTTTATATGTTAAAGTAAACTTATCTAATAAAAATTTCGATATTAGATTCGTTATAGTGAAATCATTTGATGTGCGAATCACTTTGATATTTTTACCCAATTTAGAAGAACATGCTATATTAAGACAATATCAAATTAAGATCTTATTGTGGCTGAGAAATTAATTATTTTATTATTATTATTAGATAGAATTATAGATATTATATTAATACAAAAAAGTTTCCTTTACCAAAGGTTTTTTTTTAATCTTTATAAATTGTGTAATTAATTACTATAATATAAAAATATAAATTATTCAAAGCTTTTTATTACTAAATAGTATTTGCAATATTAATTATTAAGTTTACTATAAAGTGCTATAAAGAAATCTTCATTATAGTGAACAAAAATGGTTAGAACCTCAGCTTCACTATAACAAGTTTTGACTGTAGATTTTTTGATATAATAACATTGCATATCAAAGAAAGCAAAAATGAAATTCAGTTGTGATAATCTACTAAATAACAAGATCATGACAAAATGACCGTAGGTGGAGGAATTTCTGTGCCCATGCTGATTAATTCTTGTTTAAAATCTGTACGATTTTGGTCTCTTATATTAACTATATTCACACAATTCATGATCATCCTCCATGAAAGGTATGAAAAACAGTATTTTCACTGATAAAACTTTTAAAGCCTTCACCATACACTAGTCAACACCCTGATAAGGTCCATTATTTTTTCGACTGTAGCTGGAACCTCAAGGAGCCTTTCTCGTTTTAATATTGGCAGTGTCCATCACACATCTATTCATCCCAATCCGATGAAACTATGCTAACAAGTTCTTTAAATATTGAACAAGATGTTGCTGTATGGAAACAAGAATATATTGTATTAGCTACTAATCTTCTCGCTAATTTAAATGAAATGGAATTTATAACAAATAATATAAATCCATTTCTGATGGAGTAGACGATGAGGCCAAAAATTTGATAAAAGTAATTGAATTAATGACAATGAAGATATTAGAAATTTAAAGAATACTACGAATAAAGTCTGGAAATAAAGATCTTAATGCAAATAAGGAAAACAAATCTATGATAAAAGAAAATATTTACCTGTTATCTCCTACAAAAAAGCAACACCACCATAATTATAACGCTATATTCTAACATTTACAGCTTCTATATTATATACAGTATAACGTTTTAAGTTGGCTTATAATTATAGTATAGACAATACTTGATAAAAAGATTTAATAGTTTTCTATTATATGCATTGTTTTTTTATGCATTATTTAAAGTAAAGTTCTTGAATAAATTACGTGTTTAAAAAAAAAAAAAGAGAAAAAAAAAAATTGTAGCTCGGACGATGATCGCCTGTATAACGCGAGGTGACCTTGATAAGTGCATAGTGTATTGGGTGTATCATCAACCAATTAAATCTAACTTATGTAGTTAGTTTAACATGCCGCAAATCTAACCAATCAGGTCTTGTAGAGATTTGTAGGGGTCACTGTATGAGTTCATCGCACAGAGTACTGTGCTTTACCTTTTTTTTTAAAAGTCTTTCTGTTGGCACACGGCCACATTAGTCAAGTACGGAAAAAGATCGACGAAAATTTTATATAAATATCCGCTCTGACGCTCTTTCGCGCAAAAATGCCGATCGAACGGCTATGAACCTATGAACTGGTCTATTTAAGGATCGGAGGTCAACTACGACATATGTTTTGAAAAAGATAATCAATACTTATTATTCAAAACTAATGTTTAATGGAGTTTAAACTTTAAAGTTATAATCAAATTTAGAAGTATTAACTAATGATAAATTTAGAGCTTTATATCAATTTTGCTGTATTTATCAGTCATATTCGTCATAACTCGCTATCGATATCAGTAAAAATGTCAAATCAACCAAATTTTTTGATCGAAAATTATCTCGACAAACTGGAATTATTTTGATCGTCACTCTTACCTGACATTGTGACATTACTGACATATGGCTGATTTTCCGATTGATAAATTTTTTTCATAATTTTATATGAATTATTGTCCAGAGCAAATAAATAAGCGAATGCAATAATTCTTATTAATTTCCTTTAATTTCCTTTAAATTTATTTTTACAAGAATTATTTATTACGTTAATAATTCTTGTATTTTACTATTCTTTTCTCGTAAATTTAAAATTTTTATTTTACCCAAATTTTTACGTCCAGAGCAATGCAAAGGACAATAATTCTTGCATTTTATATTATTTTCTCTATTCTTTAGTGATTTCAATTTGTAAAATTTCGTTCAGAAATAAAGAATGTCAATTTACCGTATTTTGCGTTATACAAGCACTCCTTTTTCTAGGTGTGCACAAAATTCAATGTCATAACACGAAAAAAGTCATTTTGGATACAACGTTAAACCTAGCTGGTATGGTATTTTCCTGGAGAAAATATTACTGGTAAGTGTCTCTCAATTTTTTATCTCTCGAACAAGAAATTTTGTGTTGATAACTAACTTATTTTATTTCTTATTACTTTCAACACAACAGACTCGCCTATAAACAAAGGAATATCAAGACTAGGTACTGTATAAAGCTATTGTTTTCTAACTTTCGTGCTAATGTGCATTTGATTCATGTTATTTCCATATTTTGTACTGAATAGGAGGTCTTGATGGAACAAATAAACATGGATCGGAAGATGGTCGTGATTGACCTTTCCTGTGATACTATTTGTCAAGGGAAACTAACTATTGACAAACTGCTCAAGTGTCTGCTTAAAGAAAAGATAATTTTAATTCGATCGCCTCCGATGGCAGGCAAGACAACACTTGCACAGCTATTTGAGAATAGTTTGCTTAATTCAGACGAGGATTAAGGCGTGTTTTTCGTATTCGCTAATGTGGATGGATAATAAGGAGGATGATGAGTGGACGTTTGCAGAAGGATTTAAATGTCTTATGAATATGACTTGGTTCGAATTTCTTAATAGTTGTAATGTTAAAACGTTTCTAATTATTGATGAAGCACAAAAAATGTACACTCCAATTAATAGAAGTGAACCTCTTCATGGCGGTAATGTGTTTTGGGAATCATTTAAAGATGTGCAACGATACTTAAAGTTGTATTTGCCTCATATGGATATCTTGGTGCCTACAATATTGAAGTGACTCAAATATGGCTACACAAATTTTTTATAATATGGATCTTTTTTTTTTGCTTATTAGAATAAATATTAGATTATATTTCATTAATAATGGATACAGCTATGATGTTTTGCCATATCAGCTTAAAAAAAAAAAATACTTAGGGATTTGAAGATGCCTATTTCACTGAAGAAGAATTCAAAGACTATTTTTAATAAGTTTTGTAAGAAGAAACTTTCAATGTTAGACGAGAAGGATCTTCAATCTCTTTATCACTATCTATATGTAATAACAGGCCTTCCCGGTTTAGCTGCTTACACTATGGATAAAATTTATGATAAATTCATGAAACATGTGTCTTTATCATTTGAAAAAAAAATTTCTTATTTAAATCACAATTTTTGTGCTGTTGTCGAGGTAAATTTTTTAATTAATTCTATTAACCAAAAATCAATATACTGACAAGTTGTATACTTCAGCTAATTCGTGCATCCTCAGTGATTACTGATGACTGATGATGAAAAGAAACTTGCATTAGTAAAAAGAAGGAATTCAACTCTAACCTTCCCAGCACCATTGTTTCGAGCAATCAATCTCAACTGAACGTCGTAACTGCGTCAAAATCACATATTATTACATTGTTTCCAGCGTAACCATCAAAAATTAAATATGCACATTCATAGCTTACCAGCTTGGTTAGTGTTAAGCTTTATTATTATTATTTTCTGGAAAATATTTGCAATGTTTCTAACTTTCTTAAATATAGGTCGTATCATGATAGAGCCAACCCAGATGTCGGGAACTGCTATAGAGTAACTAAAGTTACTGATCGTACGGTGAAATCGGAAGATTATCAACGCATTTTTAACATCTAATAAGAGGATACTATGTACAGGGCTTATTAATTATCTTTTGCAACATTAAAAAAGACAAAAATTCATTCCAATTACTCTTCCTTAATTTATTATTTAATTCCTATTACTTCCTTTAACCCAATTATAAATCTCCAAAAAATTTCATTCATTTATAAATTAGAATTAGAAATGTCGAGCAATAGTTATAAAATCATATATGATTTACCCACTTAGGACATTTAATGAATTCATCGCCTCAGTGTTCTCAGTAATGAAGCAGAAAAAAATAGATATGTGATATCAAATACATTTTCTTGAAAGAAATTGGTTGATAAACTTGAGGAAAAAGTGTTTAAACTCATTTACGATTTAATGGTTCTTTTTGTTCAAATCCTTTCACTGCATCGCGCACTTCTTTCTTTTATACACTTTAATCTCATAGTTGATAGTGATGGCGGATTGACTTGTTATTTACTTATTAATTAAAAGGGAGATATCATAAAAAACTCTTCTTTGGTGTAATAATAAAAATTAATAATTTTAAGGTAACTTTTTAATAGTAAATTATTTTATTTTCTCTTTCAGAAACAATTTTACTAGTTTTATTTCATCAAATCGGGCGGTGCTTTCCTTCGGGACAGCTCCGCCATCAGGTTTTGTTTTCGGACACCAGGGTGATGTTGTCATATTGGCGGCTTGGTTCACAGATCATTTTCGGCTCTAATAGTTTGGTGTCCTTATGGTTTGTACCATGACACAGATGCCACTCACGTCGTGATAGGAATAAAATGGGGAGCTATTATGATAGCATCATTTGAATGTAAAGACGCAAAGGAGGATAACATAAATTTCAGGATCAAATGGATATTGATGAATATTGAAATTCTAATTTGTTAATAATAAAGTCTAGCACCATTTGTAGATTTTCTTATCATCTTGTATTATTTTACTATATCATGAGTTTGATAAATAAAGTTTTGCACTTTTTCGTACTAAATATTAATTTATAATTGTAAAAATAAATTAATTCAAACAACAAAATTTAAAAGATATTTTTACAAGATGATGAGGTAATATAGTGGGGAGCTAACCCATAAAACAAGAGTTTCTTCCCGCTATTCTATACTATCTAATGCGCTGATTTTATAATTCCAAAGTAAATTAACCAATTCCGACACATACCAAATATTCTGATATTTATTGCAAAATTCCGGAGCGGAGGCAATACCTCTGATTCACTCTTACCTTTATGCTTTTCTCCACTTCACCTCACATTCACAGTGAATGCTCTTAGAGGTATCCGGACTAAGCCACAGCAAGTAGGATTCCAGGTTCTTTGATATTATCGCAAATCAAATAATATGTTTCATTGCCTTCACTATCAATCAACCAATCAGTGGTCTTCTAGATACCAATGATCTTTTACATAGGGCAGATTTGCGTATCATAGATAAAGTAGCAATCTACTTGATTCCCACAGTCCCTATCTATACTGATGTGAAGTTCTAAACATGGGGTAGTCTTTTTGAATCGATTTATCATCAAACTAATAACCCTTTCACACTTCTCTTTTGATAGCTTCTTCCGGAGTGGAGAGAGTTAATCACTTTGTGGTCGTTCCATTTCGAAGCTTAGCTTCTTCAGGAGTATACGGTATTCATTTTCCCAGAGATTGGCTGGACCGATTCCAAAGGTGATACCAGTGGTATCGGAATCACTTGAAGAATTAGAGACATGAGTTAAAGGATATGGTTGAGACACTTATCTTGGTTGAATCCTTGCAACTCTAATGCATTATTCTGATTATCATCTTGTTTATCGTCCGTGTCTGTTACATAAAGTTTTACGCTAGGTAGGTGTCAGGGAGCTTTCGCTTTCTTCTCCCATGAAATCTTTTACATAGTTACATACACTTGAATTCTTTAGCGTAGTAACACCAGCACAATATTTCTTCTTTGTTGTCTTCGATTGCGTTTACTTCTGCATTACATGCGTTTTCATATAGGCTAACAATACCTCGATTTGGGCGAACATTGTTCGCTAGAATTTCCATGATACTCCTCGCTCATTAGGAGTAGTGGAGGTAATATTCTGGGAAATCGAGTGCACCTCCCGTCTAGCTGATTCACGCAGTAGTTTCTTCTTCTTATTGCGTTGTCTTATCCCATCGCTAACGCTTTTCTTACGTGCATCGCCCAAAAAATCATCCATTTCTCTGTACTTCGTTGATTTATGATCACTACATTAACAACCTCCTTGGGAGAAATATCTAGGATCTGCCGTTCGTTTTCCTCATTGTCGTCCCTTAGTTTCACTACTTCAGCCTTAAGTTCAGCAAACGTAACGTCTGGCATTCTCAGTAACAGTATCTGTCCTACCCTTTTCTAACTCCTCGATTCTACTCTTGAGCCTTGGTTCTCTCTTCCGTGTTTTAAAAGCTCGTCTTTCCCGGACTCAAGTGCAGTAATCTTAGCCATAAGACTGGCGTTCTCCTGTCTAAGTGAGTCAATCTCGGATTTCATTTTCGAAGACATTGTATATAAGTATTCAGTTGAAAAAATCACGTGATTTTTGGCGAACAATGTTCGCTGAAAAATTTTGCCAAGAAAAAAATTTTAATATATGCAAAATAAATTCAAATCGGAAGCTAGTCCGTGATACATGATGTTTCTATGCCCCTTTAGACCAAGGCCTCAAAGGATAAACAGAATTCTATCTATGGAATAACACGACCTAAAAGGAGCTTGCTAAAATTTAAAATGTTTTTTTTTGATATGATGGCATTACAACCGACAATAAACGAAGTGAATTGGAGGATGATTATTCTAGGGTGTACTATGGGTTACTCCTGTCTTCGAAATATCCTTGAATCCGTTGCTTTTTCATTGCCGGCTCCTTCTCTACGTCCACCCTATCCTTTAATAATCCTGCGATAACCATCACTCCTTCACGTTCTTGTTCTTCCTCCGAACCTTTTTCAAAAATCGGTAAACCTGATATTGCACCTTACGAACTTTACCATCAGAAAAAACCCATGTGGTCTTAAAGAAATACCTTTGGCTTCTAAGCGGTGGTGTCGTTGCGAGAGCATCATCAGGTAGTGATGTTGTGAGAGTAGTAGGGAACGAAATGATATATAAACTAATTTTATCTGATCCGTGATCATATGAATCTCATTCCCCACTACCCTTCCTCCTCCACGCCCTAAAAATAACTCCAATCAATCGTCATCTTCCAATGATCGCAATAATCAACAACGTCGACGTCCACGTACACCTACGACTAAAACCTTAATAGTCATACTATAGAACGATCAATAACATATTGAATGTGCAAATAAAGGTTGATATGATTACTTTGGAGATTGAAACTTAGTACAGGTGTGTCGAACATACCTCCAACTTCTTTTCCAAAAAACTTTTATCTAAGCCAGCTTTTTGTTATCAACAATATTCCAGGACAATTTAACATCCTCCCACTGTGTTTGGCGCTTAGGAAATAAAATGATTATGAGTTTTAGAAACAAAAAACGAGAAATCAGGAGTTGTCAGGTCATTAGGGACTGCGAACGAATAGTGCTCTTGACATAGAGACAATGCCTCTAGTTTTCAGACGGAACCCACTGGAGAGTCCCCATAACTAGCCAGCCGCTTAGGTGGTTGTTTCGGCATTACCCAATTCCATCTCTATCCAGATCTTTTTTCTTAATACAAATTTAAAGTACTTACTTTGAACATTTCATCTTCGCTGAGAGCTGAAGCAGCTTCCTTCCAATTTTTATCTGTTGTGTCCTCCGCAACGTATAGTACGAACTTAGATATTTCAGTATGCTCAATAGACTTATCATACGTGAAAGTCATCTTTCATAAGACGGAATTTGAGGATCGAAATAAGGTTAAATTGATCAGCCTCAAAATAGTTCAAACCGAAGTAATAAACTTTTGTGTCTTAAAGAAGACGGAATAGAAATTAAAAATATATGACTATAGTATGACTATGTCTCACGATATTGTCTATTGAAAAGCTCACCTTTTTGCCGAGCTCAACGTTGAAATCTCAAAAGATAATGTATGAATTTCTAGTAGTATTTTTTTTTTTGAAATTGTTGAAAACTTGGAGACGCGTGCTAGCTTACACAGAAATTCTGCCGCAGTATATATTCTGAAAAAAATGTCACGAAACTTCACGTGACTTTTAGAAATTTTTTTAGCAAAACCCTATTCGTCACGCACTATCTGTCACATAATGCCGGCCATTTTTTTTGAGTTTATCAAAAGAATAAAATTGAATTTTTTAATTTTTTTGTTATATTATCAAACTAGGGAATTTGATTATTCTTAAAATTTTTGATCGATTGACTGATTGTCATTTTTATTAATAAAGCGAGTCTTTGCATTTGCAGATATAACATTTTAATAATTCCCAGTGTATACTAAATTAAAGCATCGATTTCCATGCCTGAACCTTTCCGCGAAAGAGGAAAAAAACTGATATGTTAAAGTCGAGTTACATGATGATCTTTTTAGTAGATTACCTTGAGCCCATTCTTATTGCTATTTAATGCAGATTGAGAAACAATCTCTTAATTTGAAAGCAATCAAAGATGAACATGAGAAAAATGCAAACATTTCTAGTGAAATGGAAGAAAAGGTTGAAAAATTGAGGAACGATGCCAAAATAGTCGAGCAGTATATAGAAAGAAAAGTTACAACGTGAAATAAAAGTAGAAGTAAAAAAATGGATGCTAGAGAAGCAAGTGAAATGTATGACGCTATCAAAGAGATCAAAGAGTGAGGAAATATATGGATCCTAGGCCATTTAATGCGAGTCTCTCAGGTTTCTTAATAAATTTTTACAACTTGTTTCTATCTATATCGCTAACTACAAGAATCTAATCTTCTTTACCTAATTTCTCATCAATATCTATAAAATTTTCTTCTATCTATATCTCTTTTACCCGCACAGACCATGTAAAATAATATTCTTCAAAAAGAATTACATGATGTCTAACATTACTGTGCATTTATTTATCAAGTTCAGATCATATAGATGCGATTTATTTACAACTATTATCTCTTATCTCATGATCAAATTCTTTCATTGAGGCTTTGTTCATGCATGTGTCTGTAATGATTACCCTGTCATTCCTGTGTGACGTAGATCTAATTACAGAACATCCTCATTCTAAGTACCATTTCGAGAAGTTCAGAGAACTGATTTTGCGCGGATAAGCTTTGCTGATATAGGGTAAACGCGGAACAACTGAAGATTCATCATTTTAAAGCATGCGTCTTACATAGTTACATTTCGATTTTCATCCATATTTTTTTTTAGTACGTGAGGATCTATTCCAAGAATTAATTGGTCAAATTAAGAGAGCTCACTTCCGATTCAAAGAATTTTCTCGACGTTTTGCATCTGTTTTTATTAAGCTCCTTTGTGTGAAAAAAATCATTGCTAAAGCTTTTAAAGTATAGTAATGATGATTACCGCGATGTTATTGTGTATACCTAAAATGTCCAGTGATTGTATCTGTATATCGGCAAAGGCTTCAATAAGCATTCCATCTACGCCAGACCATTTATGTACACAAAATTTCTTATTTACTCGCTTAAACTCGGAAGTGGACAGAACCTTGGGATCTCTTAAGATGGTCATTACTGATTATGAAGGAGATTTTTGGTACGTCGCACCTATGATACCTATTGTTTAAGTTATGCGAAGAAGCTTTACACAATTTTTTATCTGCATATCGACACGATTAGTTTGTGATTGTCATCTGTTAGCTGAGTATGCGCGTTTATTGTAAATCCCATTCTATAAACTGGTTTGGCGTAAACAATACATCAAGCGAACGTTCTTCTCACAAGTACAATTGAATCAACCTGTCTTCATCAAATATTTAAATATCATAGCTCTCCCAAAAAATTTGAGCAGTATCAAAAAATCAATATGTCCCAACAACCTAAAGTCAAAAGAATTACTAGTTATCCTCCCTCTTATTGGTCAATTAAAGCCCCTCCTGAAGGGATTCAAGTGAATCCTGCCGACGAGTATTTGAACTATAAGGTCACCAATGTCCAAAAAGATAATGTGTGGACATTTGTCAGTGTTCTAAATGAGTTATCAACCAAAGCTGGTGCTCTTATTATCTTTCGTATCCGCGTGAACAGTATAAGAAACACTAATGAGGTCAAATTATCTCTCTCTCCGTATGGGCAAGCGACACCCAAAGCCCCCGTTGGTGTGATCTTGAGATATACCCCAAATACCCCAGATAAATTCAATTATCAGTGGTACGACAACAGTAATAGCTTCCGACAACTTTCTGCCAGTAACATACGTGCTGATGGTGCTTGGCATACAATTACTTTAGGCTTGACTCCTCAATCAGTAACTCTCCTTGAAAATGGCAGCCATAAATTTAATTGGGAGGTTGACGTCCCTGATACCGTGAATCCCACATTTGATATGAATATTTTGACTAAGGGGGGCAGTTTGGATATCGATATAGGTGATATCTATGCTATACCATCTGAGATTAATGATGATAATTAGTTTTTTTTATTTTTATTTGTATTCACATAGGTACATGTAGCAACGATAAATTCTATTGTTTTGTATTATTATTGCATCAGTTACGACGATTTTTAAAATAAAACAGTATTACAGAGCAATAATATTATCAGTTATAAATTTATAAATTTATTTTAAATAAGCTTTTATATTAAAATATTGCACAAACATAATTATTAAATATTACTACTAATTATACCCACTTAAAGTTCAGACTATTTAGCTTCTCAAGCAGCTCTGATGTTTCACAAGTAAAAGAGAATTTAATGTTTTTAACTAAATAAAAACAAAAACCTGCTATGTTTAGTTCATTATGGTGCGTGAGAAAAGTTTGAAACATCTAAAACAATTAAATAAAAGATTTTTACTTTGTGTAACTTTCAGTGAAGACAAAGAAAAGAAAATTATAAATAAAATAAAATACATATATTTCAACAATCTACATCTGCAAGTTTTAAGTGTTGATTTATGCGTTGATCAACACTAACTTCTTAAATAAAGTGATACGATAAATAAAATATGTATGGAAAATATTTTGTAATATTGTGTTACTGGATATACGTGCTTTTTATATTCATTGAGGTTTTGATTGTTTCCTTTGACATAAGAGACGATATATATCTGACAGATCCATAAAAACATTAAACTTTACTTTAATATTAAATAGAGGAAAATGAAGTGTTTTTTATCTCAAATACACATAAACCACCTCCTCATTCTTCAAACCTTTATCTACTGTTGATGCAGGTTACAATCGCAATTGGAAACAGAAGGAGGCATGCGCTCAACTATATTTGTCTCGACTTCAATTTAATTATAAGGAATATAATAAAAAAATAATACCTATAAATATTCACCACCCAAATGATTAACAGATACCCTAAAGAAAGGATTATCTTATATCTTGTAAATAATGGGCAAATTTTATGGGCTTTAAGGTGCATCGAAAAAGGAATAAATAAGGAGTAAAGTTGATTTTAAGGGAAGATAAAAAAATGAATAGAATATAATTGGAATGATAATTATACTCATGAAAAAAAGTTTCGATTAAAGAGAATATTCGAGCGTATATTTTTTAAAATTTCATGACATAAAAGAGTAGGTTTACATATTGATTATCTTATCAATCAAAATAACTCGAGAACTTCTCTTAGTTCAAATAATGAAATTAACAATCAAGCTGGCACAGCAGTTGGGAATTACTAGAAAATGATGATAAAGAGTTAATCATATTAATGATGAAATTCGAATTTTTCTTTTGATAACTCTCTACAATTTCGAGAAATCAAGGAACATATTGAAAAAGCTTGTAATTTACAAACAATAAGAAAATTGAAATACAAAGATAATGAAGAAGAATTATTACAGTATCTAATTTAAATAATAAGAAGCTAGAAATGTGGTATAATCGGTTTGACGAATTAAGTATATACAGTCGATAAGACGAGGAGTGATGTCGAGTTAACCAAAAAAGTATAGTATGGTATGAAATCGATATTGCCAATTTCAATTGACGTTCCTTTTCACAATCATTTTTGCTTCACGTTGGAACGAGAAAGACTTTTTTTTTTACTTTATCGATTATCAAATCAGTTGTACTACTGCGCAGAAGAATTTAATAAATTATATTTACTAATTACTATACATACGCTACTATTCGTTTAAAATTTGTCATGTGGATAGGGGTTGATTAAATAATAGCGTAATTCGAATACAGCACTACAGCACTGCGCCTTTAATGTCAACATAGTAACATAAGTTACTGATGTTACTGATCAATCTTATCTATATTTGTCAATAATTGTCATCACGTCGCGTAACATTTTAAGAGTTTCGGATTAGTTATCTTTAACCAGGACGTTTTTATGTGTCGGTAAAAAATTTCTCTGTCCGTCACTCTCTACCCTGATGTCTCGCAGTGTCTGAAGGACGCCTACTCCTGAAAAATCTGAAAAGGACGGATGAAAGGGAAAAGCCGTTCGATACTCATTTCCAAAAGTGGCTAAAAAATGGCTCAGGAATTATCGTACTGCGCTATGAACGGATTTTATTCAGATTCCGATATGCTGGTATAATAACAATTAGTAACGGATTTTAAAAATTGCACAAACGGTCTGATATTATTTATATTTACCTTGCTATTTTGATTAAAATAATAATAAGAATAATATATGTATCTTTCTAGTAACGGAATGGTAGTATCAATAGTAAAAATATAAATGATTATGCAATATTGACATAACAGCCGTAACACCACATCCTGAGTCATAGTAAAAATGTAAAATAATAAATATACAACAATAAAATGTATAAAATGACCTTATTTCCTTTTTTTTTCAAGAAAAATTTTACAACACAATAAACACAAAAACCATCAAAGAAAATATACTAAAAATTCTTGTGAAATCAGATATTATCAAACGTGGATGACTGGTATAGACTTACTTATACACGAACTTAAAACCCACTCTCCAAAGTATAGTGTCCTTTGATGGTCCATATGAACAATATGAACAAAAGGCTAATAATAAACTCTCCTAACAAAAAAAAAAGATGACGGGACGATCCATACTGTATGGGTTGGGAGTGCAGAAGTGTGTGGGTTTGAGAGTGTTTGGTGTTTTATCTTGTTTTTTTCGTCATCTTTTTTTTAAGTCTATCTTCTCTCTGTCTGGTTCTTCTCTTTTTTAGGTCTTCTTTTAAGCCCCTTTTCTTTACGTCTTCCCTTAGGTATGTGGGTTGTGAGTGTGGGTTGGGAGTGTGTGGGTTTGTGTATGGGTTGGGAGTGTGGAAGTGTGGGTTGTAGGTTTGTGTCTTATCTTATTTTTTTTGTCTCTTTTTTTTAGGTCTATCTTCTCTGGTCAAGCCACAGGATTAGTTGGCGAAAAAAAGAAGTAATGAAATAAGATCTTAACCCAAATAGAAAGTCAAGTGGAACAAAAGTAAAGAATCTGAGGTCTTAAATTCACAAGTGAGTGTCTGTTATTTTTATCTGTTCACTGGGTGCCTTCAATTATAGGATACACGGGTAGTACCTCTGAGGTCAATCACAAACATGATAGTATCCGGTGAGGCCTACAGCGTTTAGTGAGGAGAAATAGGGATTACCATTATTTTCGAACGCCTTTTACCATTAATTTCGCCGAACACCCCTATGCTGAGGATATTATCTCTACGTGCTTTATCCTAATAATTGTTGGCTATTCGGATGATTCGAATCGGATCAGATCGAATCTGATTTTGATAATAATGCTTACTTGCTTAACCAAGTGTACATAGGTTAACCATTTTTTCTCTTTCAGTTTTCCGCCTACATATATAGAGCAGACCATAAAGGATATAGAATGGAGGCTAGTTTTGGGGTCTCACACGGGAAGAATTATTTTTGTCATAACCTAAGATATTGTGATGCGGCGTTTTATAGTGAGGATTCTATAAGGTATCATGTGTGTGGGATAAATATACACTTAATAAAAATAGAAGATATTAAAATAGATATAGAGTTTGTTATTTCTTATTCGATTTTTTTTTATTTTCGTATGTTGTATTTTTACTGTGATTTGTTTATTTTTTATGTTATATATTTGGTTCATACATTTATTTTTGTTGCTAAAAATTTAAAAATTTAATATAAAGTAGAATATTAAATTAATTTAGAATTTTGAATAAAGTGGGAAAGGGGAATATCAGTAAGTTAATTCTGTCACTTTGTATGACTTATTAAAGAATAAATTATGGGAAGATAAATTAAGCAGTTATATGGCTAAAGATTGATCTAAACCTAAAAAGGTGAAAGAACAAAAAAAATAGTAAAAAAAACGTCTAAGTGACGAAATAAATAATAATAATATATTTATACATACTGTACATATGTATATATCTGATAAAATCTTCATGATACATGTCCCGATACCTTAAACTAAATATTTGATTCTTTATATTCTTTATTCTATAATTTTTTAAAAAAAGGCATTCGTAACAACGTATTTGGTAATTCATTGTTTGTTTTGTTATTTAATTTCATTTATAAAAGATTACGCCAAAAAATTATTTTTATGTATATTTGATTGGATTGAGGAGTTGAGTTTCCAATAAATTTTTGAATAATTTTTTTATTCAAATTGATTTTTTATACTTCTTAATGCAAAAAATAATAACGGATTTAACCTTATTTTGACGCTAGCACCGTTAATTTGTATAGTACTATAAATCATATAAATTGACGGTATGTCTCATCGTGTAGTTATTGTTATTATTATTCATTTAAAAATTTTCTAGTTCCCAATCTAATTGGAATCAGCAGTACTCAACAAGAATGAAAATATCTCTTAGATTACAATCAAGAAATAATTGTATCGATTTAATTGAACTCATTGATAACCCAGAAGCCCTACAGAGCTTGTAAAAAAGTTGGAAGTTGAGAAACTAGAGATAATAAGGAGGACAATGGAAACCAATAAATTAGAGAAAGAATACTGATATGTCCACGAATGAAATTTTGTCGCTAGTGTTATCTTGGACGTATTGTGACGCAGATGGCCTCCACAATATATCGTAAGATAAACGTGGGATAGTTCCAAGGGTAATCAATTTCTACTTTTAATTATTATCGTACGTAATACTTCCCGCCTTTATGATGGATAGTTGTAAAATTGGAGAATATTGGTACCTTAATTTAGCAATTTTTAATACTGATTTTAAAAAGTATACATTTTCTAATTTTATATTATTAGTTTTGAGATCAACGTTAGACAAACCATAATAACTTATTAACTATGGGTGGTAACATTGTTTAAAATTTAAATGTTATTTATTTAAACGTATTACTGTCGAATAGGAATGTTAAAGTACAGTGTGTTTTATATTAATGATTTAAAAATTATTATATGAAGTGAAATAGTTAAATAAAGATACTAAGAAACGAAAGTTCATATAAAAGTAAAAATTATAAAGAAACCAAATCAATGTTGTTTCTTTCGAGTTCTTTTTTGTCAGAAATCCCTTTGTCTCCTCACTCCAATAATCCCTTAGCGACCATAAAATACCCAATAAGTCTTCCCATTCAAACATATAACCATAGCAGTCCACAGTGATGCTTCCTGATGAAAATGATATGATCTTCCAAATAATATAATTTCCACCTCGTTCAGATTTTCAGCACATGGGACATGGTTTACACTACCAAATTGAAAGTTTGGGACCACAAAATGGTATCTTTGGCTTTTCTTTCGTCTAAGCATGGTTTGCCAAGTCATCGATTTGGCGCAGTTGCCCTAAGGATTTGATCGAGGAATTCATTCCTAATTGAGAAATAAAATCAGCGAATTTCCACTATAGTCTGTATCACAAAGCCACATTAGTCAATCGTACGACCGCTATGATAAATACTCGTCATCATTTTTTTTTACTGCTATTTTTTTCGAAGTGCCCATGTCGTCATTATAAAAGGTATATTTTGTTCTCATTTTATCATTTTACAGTATTACCTCCAAAATGGAAATTGCATTAAATTGTATATTCCTAGGAAATTGTTATGCTTTTTCAGTTAAAGTTTGTTATATCAACGTTATTGGTGATAAAGCTCATGTCAATTCTCAGTTAATGACTCAAGTATTTAATTTGGGATAAAAAAAATTATGTTAGGAAAAATTGACGCTGACACTATGATTATTTGGAAGGTTAACATTGCTCTCAGTGATATAGAGGAGCTTAAAGGTGTTACTGAGGAACAAATTAGAAGGCGTTGAGTTGGTAAATGCCTACAAGTTTAATGATTATTTTCAAGAACTGAAGGATTACAAGGATCATGGTAAAATCCACATAATTGTACATGTTCCCGCCGCCACTGCCGGTAAGTGTCTCCCAACGTTTTACCTCTCGAACAAGAAATTCGCAGTGAAAAATATTATCGAGTTGATCTAATGTTATTTTTTTTCCCGTATTAAAGCAGTTCCTTTCCAGCAAGGAGTTCCACAAGGTACAGTATCCGCAGTTAAATTACTTAAGTAATTGTTTTTAGGTTTGTATCCTAACCTGCCACTATTCATACATGTAGGTGCGGTTGATTGGAATAATGTTGATTCAGTTTAAACTTTGAAGCGTTCTGGTGAAATTGTGTTACCCAAAGTATGTTTCTTGGTTTTAACCATTATCCTGTTTTTTCTGTTTCTGGTTGCGCGCTAATTTATATATTTTATCAGTTCGAGATAAGGCAATGAAAAATATTAATGCAAGGCAATTTTACTCAAAATGGATTTCGAAATAGAATTTGTCAAAGATTGACCCTATCCCCCTATTGGCTAATGGACCAGGTACTGAAAAAGCCGACTCCTTTGAATATGACCAAAAATAAGATGTATGCCAACAACGTTAGCTCTGGCAATGGTACTTCTGCAACAGATATAGATGTGGGTATTGGCCAAACATCAGTTGCATTGCGAGTACTCTACGAATATTTTACCTCTGGTGGAAATTATGACTATGGAGAATTTGTAAAGATGTGCAAAAATTTTGAAATCACGATTAGTATGGCACTTAAAGGTCGTTATTTATAGACCCATGGACTATTCACGACTTATAAGAACTATTCAAGGATTCAACTGCCAAGATTGATTTTGCCGTCCTTGAAGGAATTGTTCCTTCATGGCCACAGCTTGTTACTCCACTCGAAATAAAACCTAACATAAGAGACAAGGAAGGCACAAATTATTACCATGATGCAATGGGACAACTCGCGGATAGATTCTCTCTCATTTTGAAATTCAAAAAATAGAAAAGTAATTGTCAGGGCTATTGCTAGTGACACCCAGATTGAATTGTTGTGGGGAACAAGCAACATATATTTGAACGATCGGCTTGTTGCCACTCAATTTAACTGACAAGGGATCATTATGCTTAAGAATGATGAAATTGATGATTGCATTGAAAGACGTTTGCACTGATTATAGTTATAATGAGAATGTTATGTTATGACTGCTATAAACAAAAGAGAACTTGAAATTCTTCATTCGTACATTGAATTTTTTGTTTGTTCCTAAAGTCTTTTATAATGGAGTGCTAAAAAATTGTTGCGATAAATATGTCAAGTTTTGAATACCCTTGAATAGTCTTAAATTGCATTAATTAATGTATAGGTACAAAATTTTGCGCCAACAAAAGATCAATGTAGAAATAAGTGGAATACATTGAAGTCAGAGTATGAGAATTTGGAGAGGTTGTTAAATGGAAATCTGGAAGGATTTCCAACTCATACATGACGAAACATTCCATGAGAACTCTTGGATGAGTTCTGGTTGGCAGAACGTAATTATTAATTATTTAACTGATTTTTTTTCATTAATTCATTGCATTTATATTAATTTATTGCCTTATTTTAAGTGCAGGTTTGGGCTGCCAGAAGAAACAGGGTAGATCGCAGGTGATATGAGTATAGAGAGTACGGATGCATGTCATTTACATTTTTTTCTTTTTATTTTAGACAGGTTACGGAGGGCGGTACCTGCAGCAGAGAGTGGATCGACAGACGTATAGGTATAGGGAACGACGCCGGCGTCGTTCCCGAAGCCGTAGCAGCAGTAGTAGCAGTAGCAGTAGCAGTAGCAGTAGCAGCAGCAGCAGTCGCGATCGGAGGAGAAGAAGAAGAAATAGAAGAAGAAGAAAAGAGCCTTGGATGTCAAAGCATGGGCTATTGATCATTCTCAAAGCCCATTAGGGTTAGATTAGGGTTAGATTAGGGTTAGAGTAGGGTTAGAGTTAGGGATTGGATTAAGTAACTTACAGTATAGATAAAAAAGCTATACTATATAAAATAAAAAACTATACCATACATACAAAGGTAAGACAAAAGGTAGAGTTATCCTATTGAGTATAGTGTATAAATTTTTACTGAATGTATATAACCTTTAATACATATATTATAATAATACACATCAAATATTAATATTTATACTCAATAACTCAAATAAAAAATGAAGATCTTACTACAGGTTCAAACCCAGAAATTTATTTATATTTATGTGCCATTAGCCAGTTACAAATGTAAATATGTTATCTTACTCATTATATATAATAACAATATAAACTATATAAAGCCATCAAATATAATTCTATATGATAATATAAATACAATTGGTAACATTAAGAAGATCAATAACTTATTTGTAATATTATAATTCTACTCTTTAATAAGAGTATAATAATTTTTCTTGTATTTCATTTAGAACCATAGGACAAAGAAGTTAATACAATTAGTTTTGAAGTCTTTAAGAATCAGAAAATTTTTATTGGGTTTTAAAGGATTTTTATTTTCTAATTTTTAATAGCAAATAGAGAAAAAAAATCAATATTAATATGATTATTGAATTTTTAACTCAAAAAAAAAATCTTAAACTAATAATAACCAAAGATATAAAAGATATAAATAATAAATATATATATATAAATTTTTTTACTGAACTTACATTTATCTACTATATTATAATTTATAGTAAATTCAAGTTAGTATTTATTATATATAAAAAATGTATATTATTAAAATTAAATTGGTTTAATATAAGTTAAATTATAAAAATTCTTAACTTGAACTAAATAAATAAAAAATTAAGATTAAACATAAAAATCACATTAAATAATATTATATTAAAAAATAAATACTATATATTATTTTAAAGTTATTAAATAAAATATATTTAAACTATTACTATGATTTTTCTTAACTTATTATATTTTTAGTATTTTAATCTAATAAAATTTAAGTATAAAAAGTATAAAAATTATTTTTAAATAAAACAAAAAGATATTAGTTATATATAAATAAAAAAAAAAAAGCTTTTAATTTATATTTTAATATTTCAATTTAAATTCTAAAATTTAAGTAATTAAGTCTAAAAGCTGTTTTATAAAATAAAAAAACAAAAGAATATTGATTTTATTTTTAAAATAAAAAAGAAGCAATTTCTTTTTTTTAATTTATATTTTTAGTATTTTAGATAAATTCTGAAATTTAAATCTGAAAGCTATTTTTTAAAAAAATAATAAGAAATATTAGTAATATTTTCAAATTAAAAATTTAATATTTGAATTTTTAAAGTTTAAATTTAAAAGCTATTTTTTTTAAAAAAAATTATTATTTAATTAAAATTTTTATTATTTAATTTAATATGCATTGATTTTTTTTTTAAAAAAAGTATTATATTTACTTTTTACTATTTTTATACCAGATTATTATTTGATTTAAAAAAACTGAAAAAATTAAATTTTTTTCTAAATAGTATTTCAAAAAAATTATTGATTAAATTCATATATAATTGTTAAATGTATTAATTCATTAAACTGTAAATTTGAAACTTTATTATATTAATGGCTAAATTTTTTGGAATTAATCTTACATACAATTTGTATAATATATATTATACATTTTTATTATATTAATTATTCTCTGTTAAATGTATCACTATATAAAAAATACATTTAAAAAATCTTTTTTTCAATATACATAATATACATTTATTGTATTATATATAACAAATTCTTTATTATAAAGTTTCAGAATACAAGTGTTAAGAGCAGTTCACATAACTGTGGTGCAGTAATGGGCAATTTTGCTAATAAGAAATTCCTTCACAATGGGATGATGAAAAATTTCACATGATTTTTCAGGTTATTTTTTTCAGGTTATTTTTTTCAGGTTATGCTTGTTATATTTGAAAAACTGGATAGGGCATACCTCTTTTCAGACTTTCTGGAGGTTTTTCCTTAATTACTTCATTCCTCTTTTCAAGATCATTAATTGACGGGCATTTGGGCATAACTTTTCATTTGGAATGTATCAGCTTTCTTATGTCTGTATGGTAGCAGTTGTCACAGTCGCACCAATTGATAAAGGTACCTTAGAGATTACTTCAGAACACTTGGCACACGTTTTCTCGAATAAACTCTCATCATCAAAATCAAGTTGTACAAAAGTAATATAATGATTCTCTCTTTCACACAAGTCCGATGGATAATATCATCGTAAACGTTTAAACGTTTAAAACAAACGATCTTGGGATCTTGGTGGATCTTTTGCTTTTTATATTCTTCATATGACCCATAATCTAGGATAGCATTCTTGAAAAATTTCCTCTGGGAGATATTTCAATATATTTAATGCAATTACTTTAAGGACTCTATTGCGTCTTGAGTACACTTTGTAAAGATCGCGGGTTAAGTCCTCCATATTGATGTCCTCGACACTAGTCAAGTTTCCCATATCAAACGGGATTTCGGTGTTAGATGAGCTCTCTTGGTTTCCCATGGTGATACTTTCCGAAAAAATAGATATATATGTCTCGCTTGTTTATTTATAGCGCTGGTAAATCCCGCAGCCCATATCTTTAATCATTTTGCTAATCCTGTTACCTTTGGTAACTTTCTCCTTGTAAATCAAAAACGAATGTCCGAAGGATTAGCGTGCATATCTCCAGGAAATATTTCTTCAGGGAAATGGACTAATACTTTGATAAAAAAATAAATTTACGTGATTTTGGGCGAACAATATTCGATGAAATTTGCCGAGAAAAAATTTTTATTAATACATGCAAAAATAAATGCTAGCTCGTTATACAAGACGTCCATGCTAATATATAAATTTCTCCTGTCTTCGAAATACCCTTGAACCAGTTGCTTTTTCATCACTGGCTTCTTATCAACATCCACCCTATCCATCAGTAACACAACAATAACCTCCGTCACCCGCTTCACGTTTTTATGCAATTCTTTTTCATCCTCAGACCCTCTTTTAAGGCAGAATCGACATTGAGTAGATTTTTACTTGTGCAAGAAATTCTTCCTAAAAGCGGTATCTGTCTTATGACTAACCTGCAACGCAATTTCGAATTGCACCAGATTCTGGGCGAAACCAATGACCACATTCGTACAATTTTCCTTCTGTGATGCAAAGAAGTTCCTCGAGAGCTTCGATTGTGTAATAAACACTTCTAGAGTTTTCTTCGCCGACAATTTCAAGCTGGATTCCAAAGTAAGATCTTTTTTTGGGTTATTCTCTTAATGAGGTATATTCACAGCGCATTGCTTCGCCACTGTGGAATTATTAGTGCATAGAACATCAAATCCGAAGGGTGTCTCATCAAATATTGCTCCTTGTGGTAATAATGCTTCGACAGGCTATCAGCTAGAATGCTTCCCATGTTACCCAACCTCCGCTTTATTTCCTTTATACATTGAAATGGAAACAATTATGAAGTGGAAACCATTATAAAGTCCGTTACCATTATGAAATGGAAACCATTATAAAGTCCGTTTAGAAAAAAATTAATAAAAATTATAATATAACAATAACGATCTTTTGTTGCAATTCCTCGTTATCATCCTCGAGTGAATATGTTTTTTTGAAAGCGGAAGAGTTAACTCACACATAATAGTTTGTTGTTTATAAACCTGAGAAGATAACGTTTGGTGAAATTGACAGATTGTGCCTATCCCATTACCATCAAAACCATGTTTCGCTAACACTTCACTCAAGTCTTTCTTAGTCTTGTACAAGGACAATTTTTTTCCTTACATTCCATAGCGATGCCATAACTTCCGAGTTTTTCTCACATTAAACTTCTTCCTTTCTAAATTTTCGAAGCCTTCAAGACCTCAAGAAGTCGATAAGCTCCTTCGTTTTATACTTTATAATTTCTTCAGCAGTTGCTATAATAGTGATTTTTCGGACACACAGATAGATAAAAAAAATGATGTGTCGCACAGACATGTTGGGTGCATTGTATCATTGCACGTGATCCGCTTTCTCGTGTAAAAAGTAGATAATGAATGTCGATAATCGCGTTATGATGAAGTTACAAAAATTATTTCCAAAACGCTTAGAAATTAATTCATATGAAAATATGGAAATATTTCAACTCTTAAATTGATCAATCAATTTGATAATTGATCTTATGAAAATTAGTATGAAATAAGTTCATATGAAGAGATTGTTCAGAGATGAAAAATTTGAATGATTCAAAAACTCCTTCACAAATGCACTTCTTTCATTTCTACATCTGGTAAAAACGATCCAGAACAATCGATTAAAGTAAAAAAAAAAATTCACACCTCCTTAAACAATTGTCTGGTGCTGTGGTACACGAATTACAGATATACGTAGCCAAATCGACGGAAAATCACCAGCCTCTTCAAAAATTACATTATTTGATTACTGGTAATTTTGCAATCACGTATGGTAATGACGGGCATTTTTTAAACTTTTAATTTAGCTCCATACTTTATCGTTATATTAATATGCCTTAATTTATCAATGTTTTCCCGAGATTCATACAATATGATGTAACAAAATCACTTTGCTAATGATCATAATGGTCTTTTTAATTTGAAGATTAATTTTGTAAATATTACATTGGGAATCAGAACAGGATGTTATTTCATTTTTAGTAATTAATATCCCGACCGTACCGAATGGCTGAAAAAATCTCACGGTATATATTAATTAATTAAAATTAGTCCTGATTCGGTTTCTTTCTCCATGTCTGTCTTCATGTGAGATTATTTGATATATTTCCTGAAAAGAGGCTTATAATGACGTTCTATACGATAGCCACACTTTATTAAAATTTGTATAAAATCGATATATTGTCGCTGTCATTAAAAATGTGTTTTAAGTGTTTTTTAAATCAAAATCTTTTTTACGTGTCCTCAATTAAAAATTTACATTCTTTATATTTTAAAAAAAAGAGAAAAGATTTTATTGAAATGAAGTTAACATTAAGCACTAATACCAACATCGACTCAAACGTTGAAAGTCGAGATGTATTATCCAAATTTGTTTTCTATCTAACGACAATTTCTTTTGTCGTAACTTATATTCGTACGTATCCAGGATTTATTAATAGAGACGTTTTAAAATTGTATATTACTTAAATTTTATGGTTGGTGCGTAATTGTTGGGAAGAATTTTTAAATAATGAGGATGAGGTAATTAAAAGAATTTTCGCGTTATAAAAAAGTTTGATTCTGTCTAAAAATATCTTTTTCTTTTTTTTTAGAGTATTCGGACATATCATGGTTATCAGAATGCTCTATCCAATATTTTTTTTTTCAATAAATCTTATTCTCTTTTTTTTTTAAAGAAAAAATATATAATTATATATATATATTTATCTTTTACTATCGTCCATTATATACATATTATCGTCCATTAAATATATACAGTAAATATATATTAGTATTTATATTATATGTAGTTTTATATTATGTAATTTCAAAAGATTTTAAATAAACAGTACATAGTTTACAATAAAAAACACGTGTTGTCGTTCAGTCATATAAATAGCTTTATTTTACGTCGATTAAAGCATTCAATGTCTTACTTGATAAGCAAAAAGGAATCATGCGGTTAAAGAATTTCATTATAAAATAAATACTTTAGTAGTATTGCATGACCATTACTGCATTAATGAAGTATGTCCAGCTGGAGCTGATATTAAAGAATATATAAATATTTGCCAAGTGAATTTATAAATTATTTCCACTGTTTAACGATCTTTGCTGTACAGTGTGTGGATCTCTTTATTACGTGATATGAAAAAATATTATTATATTGAAACTCTTAAGAACGGGTATTTATGCTACAGGTAAACGAGTTATTGCATATGCTAAACTAATCTAATTTACTTAATCGTCTTGCCATTTTATTTATTATATTGTAATGACGCAGGAACTCAAAGTAGAACACCAAAAGAAATGGATTTTGTATTATTGTTAAATCTCAAGATGCTAGACTACCAATAGATAAAGAAATATAAAGATCCTCGACCAGAAATTAGGTTGGGATCATTTCAGGTAAAACGAGTAATTGTATCTTCTAAATCTATATAATTTATTTGAATGTCATGCTAATTTTTTATCATTCCCCTTATATCTTAATTAATAAAAATTAAAATAGGAAAACTAAAGCAATGAAATTATGTTATTGATTAATTTTCAAGCTGTGAAAGATGGGGTCAAGTAATTCTTGACCCGTCAAGCTGCTAGTTAATAGGTTGGTGGAAGTTGACACACAATTGAAGAAAGGATGTCTTTATACTTGGTATGTCTTTTTAAGTTGTTTTTTTTTTGGGTAATTCTATATTAATCCTTTGTTGACTATTAAAAATTTTGTATTTGTTGCAGGAGGTGTAGAAAAATATTTGCTTTTTTTGAAAGCGTAAAACTATCTTTATTTTTTAAGGTTTTTTATTTTGGTTAATAAAAGATGAGGATTTTTTGTGCGCGAATTGGATGATTTATTGTTTACTTGAAAAAGGTCAAATGAAATGAATTAATATTACTTATTCATTCAATGACTTTTTTTTTAAAAAAAAAAATATGTGGAATAACAATCATTTATTTATAAAGTCAATAAATTTAATGATGTTACTATTCCACAAGATTAATTTTGGAATTACGCCAACACCAAGCAATTAGTTCTTGTTTGATAAGTGTGCAAGAAGTTCCTACATGAGAAAAATTTGTCCTATAGCTAGTAGACACGCAAAACTGCTAGATGAGCTATACTAGCAAATGTTTTTCTTATCCAATAATTATGTGTGATAGTGCACCAATTATCTTCCATCAAATTGGTTCGAAACTTCGTTAGAATACGCTGATGGCGGTACTTTTAACGTCAAGGTTTGAGGGTGATTATATGGAGATTTGACGATCTTCATGACATCGTTTTAAAAAATACGGTTTGGAAAATTCAAAAAGCTTATCGTATCTGAAATTTATTAATAAAATATTTGAAAAATAAATTACCAAATTATTATAATGTCTTCGTTACTAAGTCTTTTGCGAAATTTATATTAATGATCTACACGATTACATCGCGAAATTTTCTCATCCTGTTTCATATGCCCTTCGATCAGCAGTTTTTTTCTCCTCCTACTTTCAATTTTACAATAGCTCGAAATAAAGTTATGTACAGAACTTAGTCACGAAGTATTGACTATGATATATTAAGATCAGAAAATTTCAATGTGGACAAGCATGAAGAAATTATAGAATAGAAAAAAGAAAAGGAAAATAAACAGGAAATACAGTTGCCAACTATGTCAAAACGTTTTTTGATAAACTGCATGATGTTATGAATGTTTCGCATGATTCGATAGGGATGGTTGAACTAAAACTGACACATTAGTCCATGATCTTCTTCGCATTGTTGCTTTAAATCGTTGGCCATTAAAGATTTGGTGAGCATTTTGGAAAAGTAATCTTTTGTTATGTTTATTCCTCAATAATCTAAAGACTATCAAATTTTAGTAATCATGACTGTTATTTATGGGCAAGCCTTAGGTTTGTAAGTTTTTGATTTTTGACAATCCCATATTTTGATGACATCTACAATCTACTTTAATGGGATAGGCATATCACATGTACATTATTATACACATAATGTTACAAATAATATTTTTTTTTTTTTTTGTACAATAATTATTCTAAAAAACATTAATTCAATAAATGATTTTAGGGAAACAAATACTTGCTGCTAAAATGCTTGCCTTGGGAAATGAAAATGTACATAAGAAAATTGTAGGTCAAACAATATATGATATTCATTTTATTTTATATATGTTACATTTATAAGACTGTAATTAAAAAAAGATAGTAAATGGTTTTATAGACTGGTTTAAACTTAGCAAATCCAGATGAAAAACAATCAATAGCATTGATTAAAATTTATAAATCTTAGTAAAAAATTAGATAATTAGTTTTTAAGAAGGATACTACTCTTTAATTTAATTATTTCATCCAATTTTTTGCATGTTATCTAGTTTTACAGTATATTTAAATATAAAATGAATAAAAATTAATCCTATTCAATAATATATTTATAATATATAATATATATACATGCTGCTCAAATTATTTTGGAATGCCATAAAAAATACTGTAATTCATTTAGTTTATATATAATTTACTATGTAAAATGCCAAAATAATTTGGAATGCCATAATTAAATTTGGAATTTTACTTATAATTATGACAGGATCCCAGAAAATATATAAATAGGTAAGATTTCAAATTACTTAGAATTTGCCAAAAAAATTGTGTAAATCTTTTCTTTTTAGATAATACCAGCCAGAAATTTAATTTCCTAATTTAGAAACTGAATAGTATTATTATAGTTCTGGTCCTAAAGAAATCATAGTAAAATTTTTTTAGCTGGACCTTACCTATTATTATAACAGCTCAAAATAATTTGAATAATATATTATATATATATTTTTTATAGTATAGATATAAACTGAATCAAAGAATACATTGTATACATTAAGTATTATCATAAGCAAGTGTTTATTTTATTGTAATATTATTTATCTTTTAAGAAAATTACTAAAAATTACATTTTAATAAGTTTATTATTATTATAATATTCAAATAATATCCAAATAATATCCAAATGATATTCAAATAATATTCAAATAATATTATTCAGTACAGTCTGAAAACTCACTAAATGAAAATCACATTTTATCAAAGTGTTATAAAATGGGAAAAAAAGCTCAAAATCAGTGATGTTAGATAAAATCCTGACATCCATTTTCCTAACCAGACTTTTGCTTAACACCGTTGGCCTACATTAGTTTTAATGCTGGTCAAAGTTGTCAGAAAATTTTCCTGTCAGGAAATTGTCTGTTGGAAAATTGTGGTGTAACCAAAATCAGATGTGCTTACTAATTAGTAATAACTGGTGGTATAGTTGGACTTATAAAAAGACAAAAAATATTATTAACAATGTTATAATAGATCTTGTAACAACATAACTAATTTTATTCTAGGTTTAAATTCATTAATTTTGAAAGGAAAAGGGGTTGGGAAAAAAAAAACATTCAAATAATATTTAAATGATATTCAAATAATATTATTTAAATAGTATTGTTAAATTTAATTTAAATATTTAATATACTGTTATCTTAATATTATTAATATTATTTTAATTATTTTAATATCAATTTTTTTAGTTAAGTATTTTACTACTAATATATATAATATAATATCATTTTAATTTTTTTTTTAAGAGTTAACATATTAAGAGTTAACATACATTTTATTAGATGAATAGAAGAGGATACATAAGATCACTAATAAAATTCCCAACAAGTTGGACCAGTTATACTCTATATATCATTAATATATAACTGAATGTATAAAATAAATTAATATTTAACAAGTTTTTTTGAATTCAAAATAGGAATTTGTTTTAATAATAGGTAATATAAATTAGTATATATAAAATATAAAATATAAAATAAATATTATAATATATATATATATATAAATTTTTTTGATTTGTAATAATACAAAAAATCTTATGAATTTGAGTAATCTATTAAAAAAGCAGAAAAAAATTATGTAAATCAGAAAAGAAATATTAATCAGAATTTTATTTTATATAAAATAAATTATAAATTTAATAAACTTTATTATACAGTGCTTTGATTTTAATTCAATTTTATCTGTATATTTAATTAAGGGTATTGCTAAATATCACCAGTGGTGATCGTCACCACACCACTTAATTCTGGCCGAAAATTATAATTTTGGCCAGAGTTAAAAAACACATCATAATTTTTCTTTCAAAAATTTCAATTTAAATAATAAATGTGTAAAACAAACCTGAGTAGATACTAATCACACTAAAATTTTGAAAATTTGACTAAAAAAAATCTTTTTTAAAACAAAAAATTGTATTTTGCTTATAAAATCAAACTTTCCTATTTTTCTCAAAAATTATCTAAACAACAGCCTTTATAATCTAAGGCAAACTTGTTCTACCCATAAATTTACATATAGTAATGATATTTATATTATAATTAGAATAATGTCACAGTCAAAAATTTTTGAAAATTCAAAAAATATTTTATATGTGGTGACGATCACCACTGGTGATATTTAGCAATACCCTTTAATTAAAAGATAAAAATTATATTTAAATTTATTATACAGTATAGTACAATAAAAAGTAAATTTAAAGTATAAGTACTAAAATTTGGATGTATACTTATATATGAACACTGGTATCTGATCAAAATCTTGACAAAATCTCGACAATCCAAATCCTGACAAGTCATTATATCGATATATATATATATAGAGTTTAAATATGTTATAATTTTGTCGGAATTTTGACTTGCCAGGATTTTGACCTGTCAAGATATTGGATTGTGTCGAGATTTTGTTGTCGGTCTTGTGTTAGTACAACGAATCTAAAACGTAAATTCCAAAGTTAGCAAGAGATAAAAAATAAATAATATCCGCAAAGATATACTTTGCCAATATAATTTATTTTCAACGAATAGTATATATTTTGATACGGATCTATTAGAATTTAAGCATGACCTGTCCCCTTTTCTACGATTTGAAGTGAATCTTAGAATCAAATCCTGAATATGTCTTTGAAGGAAATTGCGTTGCTCTCATCCAAACATTTGTATAGCATATCGGTAATGAACGGTTCTTACATCCCTAAATTTTTTATGCGCATCGGTACGCATCTCCCGTAATTATTAAAAAATTGTGGACGTTAATCAATCGTCATTTAAAAGACAATTATGGTATTATGAGAAATCGATCGATGACATACCTCTATTCCATCATAAATAAAGCAAGAAAAGTTCCTTCCATTACCTCTTGTATTATCTGATTGACTATCTACTCAACGTAGCAATCTTTCTAATGTTCTCTAATTTTTTTTCAATTCTTCATTACAAAACTCCTATAGTTGTTTTCCTAATCGTTCCATTTCCAAAGATCATGAATGAATGCCAACTACTACAATATTACACTGCATCTCATTCAAAGATAATTCTATCAAAGATTTGTCCGAACGTAACTGATATTATTTTTTCTAATGATTCTCTTTGATAGGAAATGATTAGATAATACTAAGCACTTGATGCATGTAGATATAGGAAAGGTTATTACAAAGTGATTATTATTTTCAATGTCAATTAGAGATAATTTATTAAATAAAATAAAGCTTTACATATTAACCAATAATATTTAAAGCGATAATAAATATTATCTAAAGGCCAAAATAATATGTTGACTAATCAAGTAAAGTCAAAAAAAATGTAAATATAAATAAAGAGTGAAAAAAGAAATGAATCTTTTAGCAATCATCATCAGAATCATCAGGAACCACTAAATCCATGAGACTTGACTCTATAAAAAAGAGATAAAAAATGAAAATCAATTTAATTTTTTTTTTAAAAAAAAAATCACGCTTGGTATTATGACTATAATGTTTAGTTAATAAAAAAAAAATTATTACCAATAGTAGGTTCAGAATTAATCTTAGAAGACTTATTTATTTCTAACGATCTACTTTTATAGACAGCTTGTGGATGTGTTTCGTAAGTAATAGAACTATCTTTGACATCTAAAATCTTTTGATCTAATTCGATAGACTTTTCTATTACTTTAATTTGTTTATATAATTCGGTAGTATTGATTATAGATTCATCTTTCATTTTACGAAGTATTTCAACTAATATTTCAGCTGTCGGTCGTTTTTCAGGCACGTTGTCCCAGCACTGTTTAATTAAGTCAATAATTAATTGTGGTGTTAATTTTTTGTTAATGTTTGGACGAAGACCATTCATGATTTGCAGAGCAAGCCCGGAATCATGTGGGATGTCATTAAAAGGTGGTATTCCAGTTGCCATTTCATTCATAATGATACCAAATGAATAGATGTCCGCCGGTTTATTGTAATCATTTCCACATAATACCTCAGGAGCTACGAATGGTAAAACCCCAAAAATTTTATTTTTCTTGCTAGAAGATTCTTTTACAACCAATTTACTTAAGCCAAAATCTGTAATGCGAGTATAATTCTTATCCATAACTATATTTCCACCATGCAAATCGCGGTGAGTTAACCCAGCTCTGTGAATACTAAGAATACCTCTAATTATATCACAAAGAATATCTAATTTCTTATGCCAGACCAATATTTTGAATTTCTTATCTAAATATTTCCGAAGAGAACCCCATGGACCGTATTGCATAACCATCATAAAATTACCATCTTTTGGATTGCGAGTTATTCCAAAGCAAAGAGTAATCCCAAGAGTTCCTGCAGTATCGAATGATTTTACTTGAAGTCTAAGCTAAAAATAAATAAATAAAAATAATTAGGTAACGATGAATAATATAAGATTTACGAGAATACTTTTACCTCGTCCAAAAATTCTTTTATCTTATTTTTAGAATCGAATAAACTTTTCAGAACAACTTTTTGGCCACTATCTCTAAACCAATCCTTAAACTCATCAATCCAACAAGTGATCATACCTTCATCCCAATTTGCTAAATAAACTTCACCATAACCACCTTTGGCAAGATATTGAATATTTGAAAAATTCTCATAAGGGATCCATTCAATTACTTCAAAATGACTTTTTGCATCAATTTGCGCTTGAAGAATAAATTCATCTACATCGTGATTACCACTTGTCCAATTAACGGCTTGTTCTTGAAAAAGTTTTGCGTAACAAGAGTTACACCAATTACGATGTGTATTTTTTTGACCACATAGTTCGCATAAACTAGGTTCGATAGATTTGACAAATTTGACACTATTTTGTACTATATCCTTTGTTTCCATTATTTTATCATACGTAAAATTGTAAAATAGTAATGTGTAAAAAAAAAGATTAAAATTAATTTGGTAAAATCTGTACAGTATTTATAATATTTATATATAGGCGTTAAATAAGATTAAACCATTATTGGTTAGACCACACCTTGAGTTCCATATTTAGTAAAAAAAAATTAAATTAAATTTTGGTACTAGTTTTTTATAGTGACATAATTTTGCAATTATTTATTTTATTTATTGTTATTTAATAGTTTACAAAAAGCTTATTATACATGTTAAAAATGTATTAAAATAAAATTTTCTAGATTTCATACTTTATAGCAAGCGTCACAATGATGATTGGGCGCAGCTTTAATGCAATCGCAAGTACACGGACCATAATCCTTAGTTGTAGGATAACCCACCGAGTTACATTGGTAAATATGATTAGGAATACAGTCAGAGTTTTCGTACACATTATTCATAGCCCATCCACATACGCGTCCTGTGGTGTAGCATGTACAGTACATGAAGAATATACATCGTTGGAGAACAAGATAATAACGAGGATCAAGACAAAGTATCGAGGATAAATCATCTTAAAAAGTTGTCAATAATTAGGAAATTAGTATATAATTTTTTTTTTATAAAATGAAAAAAAGATGAAATAAAATTAATAGAATTTTACTATGAAATGTTTTAATCAAAAAAATTATTTTTCTTTTTTTTTTTTTATTTTTAAAATTGATTTTAGATGAAGAAAGATGAGCGCGAAATTACCTTTTTATTTATTTTATTTTATTTTTATTATTTAAAAGGAAATTAATTATATCAATTATATCATATTATTATTATTTAATCATGATTGATGATTGATCTATAGAATATTTCTTAGAAATAAATAATATCACAAAATAATTAAAATATTCTATTTTTAATCTACGAATTATACAATTTATTCAGAAATAAAATTTTTAATTTTTTTTAGATTTGATTAGTGAAATCTACTTGTATTACTTGTATGAGAAAAAAAATAATTATTTTTCGTCCCTAATTTAATTGGGGACGTAAAAAGAATATTTTTCCCAACGCTATAAATCTCCTTGCTCAAAACCTTTTAAAACTATAAATTAATAACAAGGCCACTATGGAAATGTCTTGCGCTCATTATATACATCCAACTTCTGATCATGGTAATTCTTACTTTGGGTGCTCTTTACTTTTTGGGTTGTTATTGCTCAAATTAATTAAAATTTCGAGTATCAAAACCATTTTCCATATATTTCAGTAAAATTGGGCTAGATATTTTCTTTGAGTTTTCATTTTCAATATTCTTCTTACTAGACTTTTCTCTTTCAGCATCTAGACCAGATTGCCCCTATGGATAACCATCCTGAGCAAAGAGAAGTAGTGTCCAAGGGTGATAAATGTGTCTTGGAAACAAAATTATCAAAGCAATCGTGGGTCATTGGAATTGCGCAGAAGTAAACCAGGACCCCAAAAAATACATAAAAAGGTCACATTTGAGTTTGCTTAAAAAGAATCTAAATTTTCATGAAAATCTTGCTTTTTTAGATAATGCCGGCCTAAATTTTATTGTCCGGTTTGATACTGACCAGCATTATCATAATTCCGGCCCTGAAAAGTTGCTTATTTTAGGCCAAAATCTTGCCGATCATTTATGACCTCTATATGTATTTTTCGGGGTCCTAGTAAACCCATGGACACATCTAACCACCCTTGTTGGGGATCCGATCTCCAGACGAGAATCATAATACTAATAATACTAAAAGACATCTAAAATTATTGATTATAAACAATTAAAAAAAAACAAAGCTTTATTCTGCAAAATTTTTATACTTTTACATTTAATATAAGCGAAAATCTTCATGGATATCTCTCACTCAATTTTTGTGAAAAAGAGAAACGCAACACCTCTTCATCTATCCCTATAAAAAAATTTTTCAGAAAAATGATCACGTGTCCGAGTTTCTTTGGAATAAAAAACTAGAAAAATGATCGTTTTTTCCAGAATTTTTTTTTTGTAGGGCTAATTGCCAACACTTAAAGAATGAACTACTTCGGATTTCATGAAAATATGAGCAAAAAGATTGTTGTGTCAAACTTATTGGATGAAAATAATATCAAGTACTTTGTTGGAATGATCCTCGTACTGTATGAATAGTCCACATGATTTTATGAAACGAAATAGACATAAAGGATACAAAATAAAATGATAAAACTAAATGTAAAACGAAGTTAAAGAAATAAATGTTAATATATGCACTAATAATTTTAATCCGTTTCATCCATTTTAATATTATAACATTTATGCAGTATTTGTTATATTACATTAGCTCTGGTAGTGTTAAATAATTTCAAGTATACATTTACTAAAACTAGTCAGAAAATTTTGCCGGAAAAAGTATACTCCATAAATTGCGAGTTTGAAATACATGCAGAAAGAAAATAAAGGTGTATGTTGTTATAATATATAAACATGCATCGCCCCTGTATCTCTCGTGAGAAAAGTTTTTGATGGTTTCTAATGTAGAAATTAAAGGAACAATATCTATGTGTGACCTATGTGAATGCGTTGCATCATGTTTGATAATACTAGATTTTGGCAAATTACTATATCTAAGGTGAAACATTATTAATTAATTTCTAACGTGTTTGAACTTTTGAGACATCGAGAATCCTATATACATATACAGTATACAATGCAATTTTTTACAGGCCCAGCATCAAACACTTTGAGCGAGAAGAATATCTCTTTCATAATTGTATTTAATAAAATAAAGTATACGGATTGGACAAAATTCTCTAACAACTGTACGAATTCCTTCCTGACACACAAAAATTACTTAGAATAATATTTTTTTCGATACACTTTGTATGAGAATAACGAAGCTAATCACGTGACAGTTTCATCTACCTTACGATCATCTTATGTTAATAAATTGTGTATCATAATCGGATGTACCTTAAATGACATTTACAATATAAGTATTAATTTAGAATAGTTTGCTTAGATTATTTTAAATTAATGTAATATTTGTGAGACTAGTTTACTTTTATTTTCGGGGTTATTTTCCTTTTATATGATCAAACTTGGGATAGAAGAATATATAGCTTAATTTTTGATAAATAATAAATGACGTAATAATTTTTTATAATATTGTGTAATGTTTGCACGTTTTTGGCATCTAATCAATGATACATGATTTTTAGTTATATTGTCAATTTATGATTGTTTATTACATGTTTATGACCAAATTACCTAAAATTTATTAACTTTAGTCTAATTAACTAACTAATATCGATATCTGATATGTATATATAAATATTTAATAAAAAAATATGTTAATGTTTTAATGAATTAAATAATAATAATAAACATATAATAAAATTTGTTTATATACATGTAAATATATATATTTTTTAGCAAGGATTACATTAATAAACTTCCAAATAGATTTTTAACTAGGATTGCATTAATAAACTCTTCCAAATAGATTACAGCATCCATTTCTAGAGAATACGAGATATATCGAAAATGAATTCATTTTCTTATAAAAAATGGTCCAACGTTAATATAAATTTATCTGAATTAAATATAACTGATAATGTATATCTAATATCAAAAATCGGGAATTACAAATTTAGTTTTATATAAACCTTTGATTTATTTTAATTATCAAATAAGTTATACTGATTACACTGATTTAAATGCATGTCAAACAACAAATATCAAACATGCCGAATTGGGGTTATAATACTGAATATCATATAATATCATATAATATCATATCTCTTAATGTGGAAATTTGATACCCGTAAAAATTATGATCCTGAATATTATTATCATGAGGTTATTAATTATCCTATAATAGATATTTAAATGTTAACAAAGACAAAAATATCAGACGAAACAAAGAAGATTTAAAGTTATTTATGTAAAGTCATTATTATATACATTTTTAATAATTATAATAATTAGTAATTAATAATTTCTAACTTTTTTGAAATTGTTAAAAGATGAGCTTCAATCCAAATCTGGAAATTTTATAGTTAATTAACGTTTGGTGGTTTTGCTATAAAAAGTTAATAATCAAATTTTTAATACATGTTTAAAAAATATTACATATGCTCGAATTATGAAACCCGTTGTAATCCGACCGGAACTTCAAAAAAAAAAAAAATTTTTTTAATTTATTACGTAAATAATAAAGTATCCCTTGACAGCGACTCACCGTACCACCGAATTTTGCATATCATATATTCTAATTAGTAGATCAGCTGTTGGGACTAAAAATAATTCGTATTGATCACAAATATGGACTCTCATTTCTTGATCTTAAATTTCGGAGCCAAGGAATAAAAAGTCGATCCATATGCACCCCTGTTTCAACTTTTACACGTGCTCATAATTCTCATAATCTGCGCATTATTATTATTATTATTATTATTATTATTATTATCATTTCGGAAGTACTCATTGAAAAAAATTAGAAGAAAATTTCTCAGAAAAAGCAATCCCCGAGAAAAACTTATTAGATAAGATTTATACATATTAAAATAATTTCTCCTAAAAGGGAAAATTTATTGTGAAAATCGTTGCCTGGCGGTTAAGTAAAGTTTGTGCTAGATTAGCCACTAACAAGTAATTTTTAGTTAAAGTTCAATTATACTGAATATGTTAAGGATTTTTTTTTCGGACCGTTTTGGGAACTGCTGAACGCCAAAGGGAAAATTCTTACTTATTGCAAATCATTTGTTTACAAAAGGCTCGTCATAACTGAACCAAAAAAGGTAAAAATCATCGATAAAATTCGGAGTTTTGGGATCGGATTAGTATATTTGTTAATATGTTGATTAATTTTGATTTTATTATAGTAACTAAATAAGTTAATTAAGTTCGGATAAATTAACAAAAATTTATTCTATGGAGATCATTCGATCTAAAGTCATCCGATATTTCATTTTTTTTTGTAATTTGTAATAATCTTTTTTTCCATTTCAAGTTTATCTCTTTCGTTCTCATCTTTTTTCATATTCTTTCTTTTTAAAATAATGTCTTAAAAGAACCCTTTGTGATTTCCGAAAATTTAGACTAATAGAACAAACTCTTGGCACTTCATTGTCCACCTTGATTTTCTTGGCAAGACCATATAAGTTCTAGAAGTTTTTTCTTGGCGTGATTTTGTTCCCCATTAAATTTTAGTGTTAGCCACTATTTGACACCATATTTTTTCAAGTTCTAAAAAGGTTATTACTAAAATAAATAATTTTAACACCAATACAATTACTAATTAAGGTTCTTATTATAAAATCATGACAATGATAAGCTATATTAAGTAACTTCATTTTAATATATATTAATGTCGATCACATATGTCTAAAATTTATTTATTATATTTTTATTTTATTTATTTGGTTTTCAAAATATTATATAAATGGTCATGATTTCGTTTTTATTTTTTTTTAAAAATTTTTTTTTTTTCTTCAATTTGATCTTGAAAATAAAAAAGAAATCGAAAATAAAAAAAAGTTTAGACGAATATATAATTTAAAAACGAATATATATAATTTAAACAGATACATACATACATATATATATATATATATTATATAAATAAACAAATTTTTTCTTTTATTTCTCTTTTTTCAGCGACAAACGAAAACTTTTTGAAATCTTTTTCGTAAAATAATCAAAAAAAAAAAATGCGCAACTTCTTATTTTATATTTTATCCATCATCGTTATTTTATCTTTATTACACACATCGTCGGTATATTCATACCCAGTAGGGTCATGCGATATTGAAAGTAAGTACTTCTTTTATCAATAATCGTACTTTTTTTTTTTCACTTGTAAAATACTAATTTGTTTTTTTGATATTTTCTTTGTTTTTAAAAGATTGTGAAGACGAAATGGCAGAACGTGAATATAATCCGGATCCATGGTAAGTTAACATAATTTATATAATTTATATATAATAATCATTTTTTATAATGAACAAAAAAATTGAAAAAATAATTTATCTTAGGTCAGATGAAGAGCTAACAGTGCTCGATCTTCCGTAAGTATTTATTAAGATTTTATTTTAATAATTTTTAATGGAGATAAAAATTTTATTTAAAAGAGAAATTTTTATCATTTTCAATATTAGGGAGATATTTAATATCATGTTATAAATTTATTTCAACAAAATTAATTTTATATATAATAGTAATTCATTTTTTTTCTGTTTTCTCGTTTTCAAAAAAAAAAAAAAAAAAAAAAATTATTTCTATAAAAAAAAATAGAGTAAAAAACAAGCTGCTTCAAGTTCTATTAAACTCATTCGTGGCAGGTTTCTAGTCAAAAATAGGGTCAATAAGGTGGGACAAATGGGCAAAGGAATCGAGAAACGAAAAAAAAAAAAAGATAAAAATTTATATAATAACGGTAATTTAATATTAGTAATAGTTTATGATACAAAATTTTTTATAATAATAAGCGTATGTTTTTATATTAGCTTTTTTTGTAAATAATAAACATTTAATCTTTAGTTTTTATGATATCAACAAATTAAATTAAATTATAATGAGTCATGAATAATTAAATTATAATTAAATTATGATGTCAACAGTATATCTTTTTTTTAAAAAACATACTAAATTTCTCATTAAGGTTAGCATAATTTTATAACAAAAGAATGCATGTTTCGGCCGTTTTCGCGTTAAGATGTGATTTAATTTAAACGACTTGATTTGGATCATAAAATAAACATATCATATATATAGAACAATACTTAGGATATATTCAGTTAATTCATAATAAATGTGCATGCATTTCTCCGAGATCTTCATTAACATTATAGGGAATTTTTAAATAACGATGAAAAAAAATTGGTTTACAATCTTTACACCATCTTTACAAATATGTCATAGTCAGTTTAAAAATCCTGTTTCTTGTTTCGAATTTGTTACCTTAATCGTTCATTAATATGTTTTTATGTAATATTTACATTTATTGTCAAATTTAACGATTGTGGTAAATCACGTGAACATCTTATTATTATATTTACTTAACAGTCTGACAAACCTTTCTAAAATAAAAAATTTAATTTTAACTATTAAATTCTTTGTATGCACGAATTTTAAAAATGTTATCATATGATTATTAACTAACAATTTTTATTGTTTATTATGATTTACTAATAAATATTGCATGAGGTCGTAACCTCGCAGATAATATTACGTTATTCTAATCCCCCCCTTTTTTTTCGCCTTTTCTATGTAAAATTTTTGAACCAAAAAAAAAAAAAAAGTTTGTTTCGGCATCTACCTTCGCATTTGGAAAATGATTTTATCCTTAGTATACAATTATACATATATGGAATACAAGATTTTAGCAATCGATCGTATAAACAATGGATCAGTTTTTACCGAAAACAAGGTGCCACAAAGGTAATAAAATTATCCTTGATTCTAGAAGATTCATTTTCGAACTTTTCATCTTGTAATACTTGGTGTTATATAAAGCTCTTATATTTATAAAAATATTATTATCCCTTAAGAGAAAATATATAATAATGTATCTTATTTTCAGACATCAAATCTGACGAATAGGAATGTGATTCCATTCAATCAAAGTTAGGGATTGGGAATCGATTCAATCGAAAATCGAAACCTGAGAATCGATTTAAGGAATCGATTAATCGTTTTCTCAGTAATTTTACAAAAAAAAAAATCATTCTTTAAACATTTTCGTAATGCAACGCTTTCGATGATCCCGACGGCATAAAATTTTAGGTGGATTTTAATTAAAATAACTAAAATAACTAAAATAATCTTTTATTGTAAAAATTTGAAAATTTTGATTAAAAAAGTAAAATGATTTTATTTTTTGCACTGAATAAAAAACCCTGAAATTTTATTAACTAAAAGCAATTATTATATAAAAAGTCAAAATTTGTTGTCAAAAAAAATATGTATAAAACAATGCAGTAGACATTTTTGGCCCGCATTATAGAATTATATTTAATTCTGCCCAAAAGATGATCGCCCCTGAACTCGAAATTATCAATTAATAAAAAATTTTTTTTTTTTTTTTGATTAACTGTTAATTAAACATTAGCCACAATTAACTTTGATTGGATGATGTTTGATTAAATTCTCAATTGTTTAATTGTCCAATATCCAATTATTATTGGTCAAAAAAGCCATCACAATTGTTGAATTTTTTCGATTTTTTTTTGTTAATTCTGAGATTTTTTTTTCATTGTGACGTGGTTATAGACGTGGTTATAGACGTGGTTATAGAAACAGCAAGATTATATTTGCTGCGTCAAAATATAAAAAATTCGATTTATTGGGATTCGATTTTTAGGTTCGATTAATCGATTCTATTAGATACGATTCGATTTTTGATTAAATCGATTTTAGTCGTATATATACAGTATATATATATATATATATATATATAATCGATTCCAATCCTTACATCAAAGATCTTTTGAAAATATTGTATCAAGAACCATGTACTTATACACATCTAGATGTGTATAAGAGACAGTAGTACATGTGGTGCTGAATTTGATACTGTTACCACCGATTTTTAACGTTTGGTTAGGTAGTAACAGAAAGATAATTAAGGATCGGTTAATAATCGCAAGATAATATGACGTTAAATATCAAGTGATGAAGTAAAATTAGTAAATCGGATAATGTGTGCGCAAATAATGAGCAATCAGTAAATGAAAAATGAAGTAATTATATATTAATCTGTTTATAATCGTAATTAAATTGTGTATAGACATTTAAACGATACTGTATGTAACAAAAGGTCAATAAAAGATAATAAACACTTTAACGAAATAAACGAATTGTAAACAAATTGGCAGGGTTTATTAATTAACAAGTACAATACAATATTACCTGCCTCTATTGGCGCTCGATATATATTTCTATCGTAAAATAAAAACTACACTTTTTCACACCGCTCCCCAAAACCTCCACCATCGGTCCTTTTTATATCGTTAAAAATCTGGTACTAATTTGCTTATCGAACAAATTTACCATCCGGCCAATCTCGCCTGTGACGATTGGTCGTATTTGTCTATTAAGCCACCTTTAATTCAGCCACTTTCCCATCGCTAAGCTTCCGATTTTATCTAATCATTAAATAACTAAAAATATCTCTAACATAACTAAAAATAAACTAATAATATAAATATATATAAAAACACGACCTTCCATTGTAGCGACCTTGTTTTTTCAATAAACATCTCTAGTCTTTACATATAATCCAAATTGACTGTTTTAATGTTATTGGTCAGATCAAAATTAATCATATTATTTTAAAGTATTATGATTCTGGATAATTGAATATGGTGTTTAATATATGTGTAGACTATATTCAATAAGCAATATTAAGAGTAAATATTATAAATGCATTACTATTGTAAAATAATTCATTTATTGCAAGTTATATCAGTAATAATATGTTGCTAATTTGTCTTGATGTATCCCCTATCGATACTGCAATGCTGAGTATTCTAAAAACCGATTAACTTTATGATCCACCAGAGCAATCAACTTGTAGGATTGTGTCACTATGATGTGCTTAAATGATGGCAGGAATGAACCGATTTAAAAAAACGGGTTTACTTAATTTTACTAAATATAATTTTATTTTGAAATGCGGGATAATTCCTTCATATTAATACCTTAATATCCCGCTTTATAAATATTTTAATTTCTTTATAAAATGAAATATCTATTTCACACCGCACCACAGTTTGCTCTTCCCGGTCCTTTTCTAATGACTCCTCCTTCAGCGGTGGTTCATTCTTCTCGCACTTTTGTCGTCATGCTGAGAACATATATGCTAAAAACTATGATCCACCAGAACAATCAACTTGTAGGATTGTGTCATATGTTGTGCTTAAATTATGGCAGGAATGAACTGATTTAAAAAAACGGGTTTACTTAATTTTACTAAATATAATTTATTTTGAAATGCGGGATAATTCCTTCATATTAATACCTTAATGTCCCGCTTTATATATATTTTAATTTATAAAATGAAATATTTTTTTTTTCTATTTCACACCGCACCACAGTTCGCTCTTCCCGGTCCTCTTCTCCTGACTCCTCCTCCAGCGCTGGTTCATTCTTCTCGCACTTTTGTCGTCATGCTGAGAGCATATATGCTAAAAACTATGATCCACCAGAGCAATCAACTTGTAGGGTTGTGTCATATGTTGTGCTTAAATGATGGCAGGAATGAACCGATTTAAAAAAACGGGTTTACTTAATTTTACTAAATATAATTTTATTTTGAAATGCGGGATAATTCTTTCCTATTAATACCGTAATATCCCGCTTTATAAATATTTTAATTTCTTTTTATAAAAACGAAATATTTTTTTTTTCTATTTCACACCGCACCACAAGTTCGCTCTTCCTCCATTCTTCTCGCACTTTCAACATAACAATCCTTTGTCGTCATACGTTAGGATATTGATCAGAGTGGATTTTGGATGGACAAAATTTCGGATTTTCTGTTTAGAACGGTTCGGGGTTTTAGTACTCTTTGGGTTTAGGTTGGGGATCTTATATAGTTTTTGGATTGGCAGTTTACTTTGTAATTTATTTTTCTTTTTCACTGTATTGTTGACTAGCTTATGTTTTCATTTTATTGTAATACGATTTTGAGAATTATTTAATAAAATTTAGCGTAAAGCTGCTGTTAAATGATGGCAGGAAGGGTTGTATTTGTATCAATTTAGGTATCACAGTTGTCAAGTGATCAATCAATGATAGATCGTTTCACGAACTAAACTAATCGAATTATCAAACAAATAATGTTAAACCCGTAATCGTTTAATAACATACAATTAAGGTGAAAAACATGAAATTCAAACATGGCTTAGTTATTTCAAAGTAGGGCTATGTATGGCTTATGAAAATCAGTGGTATTACTACTTTCATAAGCCACTAATGAGTCAGCCCTCAAGATTTATTATTATGTTTTTTTTTCGATCGATAAAAAAAAAGATCGGTTTGTATATTATCAAAGCTGGATTTGTCAGCGAAAACTTAGTGAAAATTTTATATATGGATAATAATAATTTTTATATTATTATAAGTCAAACACTGCCTCAGTTTATTAATAATAGGGGAAAGTGGCTTTGTGAAAGGAGGCTATGTTAATCATACGGAAAAGCCCTGCTTACATCACTTACAATTGAAATTTATATTGGAGTAATCTCTCTTACATTAAATGATCATATTCACCGATCAAAATTTCCCGATAGTCTATGAAAAATCTAAAAAATTATTTTATTGTTAATAATTAGTGTGGCTGCTATAATGTGGCTTTTTCAATTTTTCGCTTTCTCTACGTGTCTTCTCGCTTTCAAAAAGAGAGAATTAAATGAATTAAAATTAAATTTTTTTCATCGCCTCAATATAAATAAAGATCATTATAAGCGTGAAATAAAGGAAGCCACATTAATTAAGAAAATTTCATTACAATAGAACTATTGAGAGATGTTGCATCGCCACGTTTATCTTTTTTATATTTAAAATTGAATACTTTGTTTGGTTTTTCTTTTTCAACATTCTTCATATAACGGAAAATATCTACAAATAAACGATATCTTTTACTTTCGACAATTAATTTGACAATAATTTTCTTTGATAATGAATAAACAAATTAACTTATTTCTATCTATCGTATTATTTTTATATTTAATCGTGATGGTGAATGCATCACCAGATCCTTATTGGGATGGAGAACCATTTGATTCGCCGACGCCGAAATAATATTGTAATTATTATTGGAACATTTTATAACTTTATTGTCACTATTTTTTTGAATTATTTTTGATTTTACAAGTTTTTTTCAAATTTGTAGAGAATTTTGATGTATTTAAGTTGATAAATACTATCGCAGTTATATATTTTGACAACCATGGTAAGTAAACTTTTTTTTTTTTTCTTTTACAGTATTGATATATAAAAGTCTCTTCAAGCTAAGATACTGCTCTTATATAAACCTTCGGAATATTTTATACTAAGTATGGACCTGTGGACAATTGCTCACATATATATTAACATATTATCACTTTAACACGCTTATACTTACTTTTTTTTCTTTTTTTTTCTTTTTCATAAAAAAACATTTTAACCCTTATATAATCAATCGATACGCATGCAATCTCAAAACATTTTTGGGCATTTAATTCATTATTTATCATTATCATCATCATGCCGCATTTTTTTTTTC